CTGAGCCCCAACTGTGCCAGGTCTAAAGTAATCACTTCAGAACGCCTTTATTGTCTGCGTCTGTTGGAAGACCAATAAACACAATGACATGTAATTCTGAAAATTAGACATTTATCTTCAGCAAAACAGCAAAAAGTTAATATTTTAAGGCACATTTTAGTTGAGGAATGGCAAATGGCTACACATTTTAACAACTGGGGAACGTTTGAGTCCCTTGAGCTCCAAAAGAAAGATAAATTAAAATTAAAATGTTCATTTACATATCATTTTCCTTGTCAGAGACACTAGAGAGGCACTAAAGAGCCGCAGCTAAAATGAATAAAGTCAGACCAACCTTGATGAAAGAGGTAATTCTTCGTGTAAAAGCAATAAAAAAAAGGAAAATTGAAACACATGGACAACTGCAGCAATATAGCAACATCAGATAATAAAGAATCCGTCTCTCTCCGCCCACACACACTCTGCAGATCCTTTTCATGCTGTCGGGACACGAGGTTGATCACGTCTTTTTGCAGGAGACAAAAGTCCTTCGATTTCACTGCCTGAAGGTTAATTCAGATCACCTGTTATTCACTGTTATAAAAGCAGTATTGATTAAGTTACAGATGCAGGTTCGTTTCACCGGTACAAAGATCAGCAGCGGTGCATAAAAACATTTACTGCCATTAAAGAGTTGGTTCTTTTCACTTGGAGAATCAGACTGAACAGACTTACATTAGTGGGGGGAATACAAGGTTTGCTCTTTGAGCTTGACGGGAACTCCCTCAGTATGAAGCTACAGCCAGTTAGCTTAGCTTAGCACAAAGACTTAAAATGGGGGAAACAGGCACGGCGAACTCCTCCTACCAACACCTCTAAAGTTTACTAATTCACATATATTATTTCGTATCTTTAATCCGTAAAAAAACAACAACAATTTTCTGTTTTATGTGCGTTGGCTCTTAGCTGTTGCCAGGCAACCAGAGGAGACTCCAGGAAGTCCGCTAACTAATGAATCGTGTCGCTTAAAGTTTAAGATGATTGATGGAGATATATATATATATATATCATATCACAGGTTGAAGAGAAATGCAATACAAAAACAAAGAAATAGATTTTTTTTCTTGGCATAAGTTGTTAAATATGTGAACAATATAACTGAGGATGTGATCTGAAAGATATACAAATAAAATACAGACATGAGTCTGACTGTCAACAAACATACATCCCAAAATATATAAATAATTATTCCTTACATGGAATGTACATGGCAACATTAAACTCCAATACACACCTACAGCATGAATGAGAAGCTAACACACAAATTTATACAAAAAGAAATTAAACTCTTACACATTTGCACATAAAACTGTGTATAATATATTCATGTTGTGCGTCACACATTGCAGGAAGGATCTAATGAAACAGGCCTGTTGCATTATGGGTAAAGAAGACTAAATTCAGGATATCTCTGCTGCTTTTATTAAGATCTCTATTTTTAAATAATCTGTCTCCTGTGAGTCACTCAACCTTTTAGAAAGTGCAGTGCTAAAACTGGCGGAGGTCAGATAAAGCCCATAATGGATTTATAATGTCATAACTGGAAACTTAAAAATAATAAACGTATACCAACTATAATAATGACCTTCTGGAGTCCCTCGGGCTCATTTGGCCAAGAAAAATGAGATAGAACGAGTTGGAGAGTAACCTTTAAAGTGGTCGTATTGTAAGAAAATTAATTAAAGAGCTTTTTTAAAAAAAGGTGAAAAGCAGCTACAGGTTGTGATTGTGTCTTCTGTTTCAGATTAACAACACAATGAGAAGCTGTATCTGTAGGTTCGTCCACAATCGGAAGATGAAGTCATTTAAACCTGAGAAATAACAGTTAACTTTATCTTAAATCAAACAGACTACACACACTTTTCCTTTGGATCCACACAAATCCCAGTGTGACACTCTGGGACACAGTCGTCTCGTAAAAAGTCACGTACCATTCAAATTAGAGTCGTCAAGAGGTCTGCAATTCAACAGAGCCACTTAAGATAATTAGGTCAAGCATCAAGCCAATCAGCGAGCACTAATGTATGATGGCGAGGCGGCTGAAGTGGGCCACGAGTTACGACACATTTCAACAGCTCGCAGCGACTTCAGTGCACACGTTAAAGTGGGGATAATCCACAATCCCTCCCAGGCATTCGGAGGGAAAACATTTAGTATAACGGCTGTTAAAAAGGGGGATTATCTTTATCTGAGTCTAAAATAAGGTTTTTTTTACAAAGGGCACTCAACTCCTCTGGAGATGGAGCAAAGAAAAATAAGTCGTTTTGAATTCTGACATAAGTTGCTAATGTTAGCATTTCCACACATATTTCCAGAAGAGAAGCTGCTTTCATCTACTTCTGTCTTAAATTGAGAACCACCACTTACACTAAGTAACTAACAATACTGAGAATTATCATAATTGTTGATGTAAACTGCACGACGGTAACAGAGGCTCCGTCTGCAGGCAGTAGGCTACTGTGAAGAAAAGAGCTCTTCCTTACAGATGACTTGACGGCTGCTGCAGTGGATGAAAAGCTGCGGACTCTCGGGAATTCACAAATAAGGATTTTTGAACCAACGCTACAGGATGTTGTGTTTCCTCTTTGCTGCAGTTTGTTTCATCTCCTTTCTTTATTTGACCGCTAGAAAAACAAGACGAGAAAGAGAGGAAACGAGCACTCAGCTCTTCCTCTGTGAACACCCCGTATTGATGATTTCCGAACGAGCCGATCAATCGGAAACTTCCAGCTCCGGCAGCCGGTTTTATTGTGCGACGGTAAAGATTACATTGATCAAACAATCGCAGATATATACAGGAGTTTAAAGCTGCTGAGTGGGTGCTGCAAAAAGTTGGAGACTGTGGAACCTCCAGCAGATCTCCAGATAATGGAAATCCATAATCCATATTAAGCCTTTAATCCACGAGCCTATCATCAGTAGTCGGAGATATTCTTATAAACTAATTATCCTGGTGGCTGTGACTCTTATCATTAATGTCACCTTAAGATTTCATTAGGTAGAGCAGGTTGAATGTTTAACGGCTGATTTCCTAAAGATCTGAGACAATTAGGTACATATCAAAATAAAAGCACTGAAAGAAAGTTGATTATATAAGATTTAAAGCATTATTATAACAGCTGTTCTCTATACAAAGACACAGAGTCACATGGTGTCTCTCTCCCTCTGCCTGTGTTGTATGGCAGCCTCTCTGTGGTTTGTTTCCATAGCCGGTCTGCTCCGACTGAAACTGCTGTTTTTATCATCTACGTCGGTGAATTAAGGATTTATTTCCACCAAACCAGAGTTGGAAACACTAACAGAGATGCTTTTAATCAGTTTTATTCTGTTTCTGTCCACCTTGAATGAAGTTACATAGCTTACGTTTCGTTTCAGCCCTTTTCATTTTTTAACCTAAATTGGGATTATTTCAACCAAACCAGTGTTTGTGATTGTTGGAAATACTAACAAAGATGATTTAGGTGAGTTTTATTTTGTTTCCGTTCAGTTTGAAGTCTATTTTATGATCAGGTTATCTTAGTAAAATTACCTGTTTTGTCCATAAAGTCTGGTAACGCCCATTGTTTTGGTGAAAGATACCAGTGCTCTAACGCAAGAAATATATATATTTCTAACCTTTAAGTCCAAAAAAAAATCACATAAATAAATAAGAAACCTTCAATGTCATGTTCCTTCTGTTTAGTAAGAAAAGCTGTAAAATAATTTAAGGCTTTTATTTGTTTCCATTTTTGCTAAAATGTTACAATAATCAATTACATTTAGTGTTGTATAATCTTTTCAAAAAGGGGAAACACTTCATTGATCTTTGAGAGACAATACATCATCTGTAGAACGATGCATCTGTAGAATAACGAAGCCTAAATACTGTAGAACAAATCTCAGAGTATAAAGTGGTGGAATATAATTTGGTTCTGGCTGTAATACAGAGAGCAGTTTTCCTTCAGACAGCGCTGACGTCTCTTCTGCTGCTCTCAGACTCGTTGTGCCTGCTGCAGATGGTTTTATCTGGAGTTACTTACAGTAAATGTTACCTCTAGCTGAACTCTGGCTCGGCTCCTGCAGAGCAACAGATGGGGATAAAGAACATAAAAAAACATATCCAGTGAAGTGCTGACAGTTTGGCCTTAACCCCCCAGACCTAAAAAAAAAGCTAACTTTAACTTTATCAAGAGTACACACTCCACCGTCATCAGCAGCTGACCGTGCACACGAGGCCAGCGCGTCGGTTTATGCTTCCAGTGTTTCACAACATTTTAATTGTCGACTGGAAGCTTTTAACTGTGGATAAGAAACCCAGATCAGGGTACTTTACTCTGAACGCCTTCAGCAGCTGTGAGTCCAGGATCACTCTGGACAGCTGCCATCTGTGAATATACACGATGATGATGGTGATCGGGCTGCGTGTTCTGCCATGTAGCAGCGCCGCCATTAGTGTGGTGGCGAGACGTAGTGACTGACTGCTTCATGGCAGCAGATTGACAACTTTAGGCAGGTTAATAAAAAAAGGTCATTTAAACGAGAAAGATCACATCCTCAGTTATATTCCCATATTTAACTATTTATTTAACGTAGCGTGCTGTTAGCGTGCAACCCAATCGAACACAACCTCCGGGACAGACAGAGGACAGTTTGACGACAGCGGTGCCGAGGTGATTTATGGAGTTTCCAGATGGACTTGCTGCTAATAGAAGCTCACTGTTGCCAACAGTAATGTTAAATGCTGTTAGCTGGTTAGCTCGTGCACCTAACATTAACCCCAAGGTGGGAGGAGTCAAAATAACACCTCAGTACTTTATTCCCTGTTGTCAAACTGTCCTCTGTCTGTATCAGATGCTGCATTCAGTCCGGGTCTATAGGACAACTGCGTCCATACTGTAAGGCGACCTCCTTTATTTCCAGTGTTTACTGTACAGAGAGAGTAAAAATAACACATAAACAAAAACTCACAAATCAAAACAAAATCAATTTCATTTTTTATTCATATACAAACAGTGCATATCTGAAAATACATTTGATTGAGTGCTTGTGGAGTGAATAAATGTATTTTCAGGTGGCTTTAACAAAAAAAAGCAACCATCCTTGTTGACTTCTGAAGTGTTTGATTCAGCCTCGACTGCAGCGCCTGCAGCCTGACGCTCACAGCTGGATGTGGACACACAGAGAGGCTGATGGGAAAGAACAAACAAAGACAGGATGGTCAGAGCAGGAAGGATGGTGTGAAACAGAGGGGAGCAGACACATATACAGGTCCAAGCCTGTATTTATCAAACACCTCAGAATAACTCCCAGGAAACGCACTCAAAGTTAAAAATACCGCTACCTCTGAGTCCAGATATTTATGAATCATGCTACACCAGCTCTCAGTGGGGAGCACAGGTTCTCATTTTAGAGGAACTGGTGTTACTGTTTCACAAACCCTCAGAACCAGAGAATGAATGACTCTTGTAGTTTCACATTTCCTGATAACGTGCTGTCTTGTATTGACAAGAAAACTCCTATTTTAGAAAGCGTGGGAACTCTGCAGTCATTCAGCTTGTGAACGCTCAAAATCACTTCCAATCAGAAAACAAAGGACAGCAGAGAAAGCTCCGAAGGGTTTAAAGACCGATTTTCTGGCTGACAGTATCTGCAGTCAGGTGAGGAAGGACCAGAATGCACCAGGTGTGCGGTCGCACCCTGATTGGCCGAGAGGAGAATGCACCAGGTTGCTCTCAATCATTGTTTAGGAGTCAGTCCTCACAAGCAACAGGTGATCTGAATAATCCTCCAATCAGCCCGGAGGAACTTTCACATTCAGCCATAATGAACAGAGGTAAAGGGAAATCAAATTACAGCAAGTACGAAAGAATGAGGTAATGCTACAAATGTTTTTCACTGCGATCAATCCAAGAGCTGTTCAGAGGTTTCAGTTCGGACCAAAGTGGTTATGGTTGCACCTAATAGGTAATGCATAAATAACAAAGTGAAAAATGTTGTAAATGTCTGCTGTATAATAAATGACGTCACCCACTGGTCTGTGAAGATTGAGGCCATAAACTGATTAGGAAACTGTTTACTGAGATAATAAATCAATGAATAGTAGTACTAATTTTTCATAAGGTTAAATACTATAAGAATTATTTTTGCAACCAGTGGAGTCGCCCCCTGCTAGCCATTAGAAATAATGCAGGTTTAAGGCATTTTCAGACCCGGAAGCTCCGTCCACTTATTATACTGCACTTTCAGCTCACTGCCTAATCTTTTCATCATTATGTGATATATTTGAGTATTTCACATTTTTGTGTTGTTTATTCGTCACGTCCCCGGTGTGTAAAGGCATTAAGAATTAAGAGTGGAATGTTTTTATGATCCTCTTAGACCTCGTAACTGGTTATAAATAAAGATCCTCACCTCATCTGGTTCAGTCAATCTCCTTTTTCAGGTATCGCTTCATGACTGAAGCCACGTCTCCCCCCTCACTGCCCTCTGCCTCCAGTCTTTCTCCCTGTGGCCTGTCAAACCTGCGTCTAGGCCCGCCGCCCTGGGAACTTCCTCCTGATCCACCTGAGCTGGAGGACTCGGTTTCAGAGCCCTTCCTGCTGCGGGAGGACGGAGGCAGCTCTCCGAAGTGGACGCTCAGCGCCCTCCTGCCTCCTCGGACCGAGCCGGCCAGGCTGCTGGTGGACTGAGCTCTCCGGATGGCGGGCAGGACGTCAGAGGCAGCGTCGTTATCCCCGGTCAGGCGGCGGTTTTGGAAGACCATAGGTTCTGAACCCAGAGAGACTTCACCTCCGTCCTCCGTAACCAGACTCCCCAGCATGCACCGCCTCGGTGCCTGAGGGGAGCGCTGTATGGGAGTCGCCACAGAGCGGAAAGGTTGCTCTGGGTCCTCCTCTGGGATGGACAGGGAGGGAGGGCGATGGCGAGCAGCCAGGGAGGACGCCAAGGAGGAAAGGCGTGGCAGCGAGGGGAGCGAAGAGACAGAATCACTCGAGTTGAAGCGGGAGAGTTTGGTGTCAGCAGGTGTCTGAGCCTCACTGACGGAGCGAGCGCTGGCGGCGCGAGGCATGAGCGGAGAGGACGGTTTTAGGATGCTGGGGCCGGGCCGGGGCTCCTGGAGGTCTTCTGGGCCGAGAGAGAGGGCCGAGGCTCTTCGTCTGAGGGTCGAGGCTGCGGTTGTTTGATAAATCGGCAGGGAGACGGCGCTACCTGCGCCGTCTCCTGCATCACCGCCAGCTCTTCGTTTACGAAGTCCTTCCAGCAGCTCGGACAGGGCCGAGGAGGACGGGGCTCGACCGGGACCTCTGGTACCTCCAGCCTCAGAGCCCTCGTCATCAGGGTCCACGCAAGAACTTCAGAGGGATAAAAAATAATATTTAATCAATACATTTATTGTTTAGTCAGGAATCAGAAGCAGGTTTATAGTCAAATAAGAAGTACTGCAAAAGTCAAGAATCATAAATATAAAATAGAGATTTACAATGAAAAATATTTAAAAAATATCTGAGAGACCAACAGTTCTTAACCTTTAGATATTCAACTGTCATATATGACAAAGAAAAACATCAAATTCCCACATTTCAGAAGCGAGAACCAGAGAATTTTTGGCTTTTTTGGTTAAAAAATGAAATGATGAAAAACATATCAAAATAGTTGGCAATTTATGTTCTATTGTTCAACTAATTGATCAATCGTTGCAGCTCTACGTACATCTGTGAATGCACCGTAGTATCGCGCTTACCGGAAGCTGTAGGTGCTCATGGTGTCAGCCACAGACTGGCGCCCCCCTTGGCTGCTGATGGTACTGCTGCCATATAGAGAGCCGCCACCACGGGACCCTCCTCTGGGAACTCCTAACCAATGACGAATCCCCTCTCCGACATCCTCCGTCCCGATCGAACCGACACTGGACACCGAGTCGCTGCAGAGCGAGAGCACACTTTATCACCACATTATGGACAGAGCGGAGACGTCTCGCCTCTGATGGTCAATAAATACTATATATAATAACAATAATATGTTAGCTGCAATGAGCATGCGAGCACATCAAGACTGCAGCTCAGCAAACAGCCGATGATTCCAGTGCAAGCCAGGGTTTCATTACAGTCAGTGTATGAGCCCTTGTGAGTCTGATACGCCAAACTCAGTCAGTCTGAACAAAACTGGCGAACATTGCGTGGATACGTCGTACTATGCACATACAATATGGTCTCAGAAATAGAAAAATTTAAATCAAACCATTTCAATGTGGCTCATCCTTTTTGGCAAATAAATAAGAAAAACACTTTACAATCTTTCCCACACTGACAGCCCCCCCCCCAGCTAAACAGCATGAATGTGCTTCTAGTGACTGTAACAGCTCCAGTAGACTCTCTGTTTTAGACTGTTTTACCAGTGTGGACACTGAGTCTGCAGCAGCTGCTCATTATCTCGCTGCTACGCTGCTGTGGTCAGTCTGTCGAGGCCAAGTCCTCTGCAGGTCTCTGATGCATTTTTTACATTTGCTGAGAGTGAACAGAGCTGAAGGGTTGCAATTACACTTTAACTGATGCAGTTAAAAAAACAGTTATTGGTTTGACAATTGCTCACTATCGTTCATGTGCTTATGAAGCAATAGTAAAGACAGTATACCTTGGATTTAAACTTACAAGTCATTATGGAGTAAAATACAGCAGTCGCTCATGGACTGTTAGTAGCCATGCACGTTGCTATTTTTACATGAGTCACCTTAAGGCAATTGTTCCCAACCTGGGGGTCGGGAGCTTCATGGGGGTCGCTAAAGCTTCACAGGGGCAGCGAGGCCTTCTTGATTTTAAGGGGTGTAAGAAAAGTTTATTGTAAACTTCAGAGGCTTTGGCGACCCCTAGTGGAGGTCCAGACCCCCCTGGTTGGGAACTGCTGGGTTATACCATTCATGGGGGGTTTGAGCAACAGACCCTTAAAATCTCTGCGCAAGTCCCCGTTTAATGACACTTCAAGGCCTGATGGGACGTTCCATCGACATATAAAAGAAGGACATCTCCAATTCCTTCCACTGTACAACAATGAAGCCAAAATATCCAGATACGGCCGCCGCCATCTTTCTCCATTCGGACCCAGAGTCTGTGCAAGGGTTGGCGCCACGGTATCGAGGTACCAACTCAATGGCGAGCAGGGCCCCCTTTTTATAGCTTCAAATAACAAATTAAAACTGATCAGAAAAATGGACACTTGAACAAACATCTTGGGCTTTATATTGCAGGCAGCCACCAGGGGGAGATAGAGATGTTTTGGCTTCACTTTTAGAGAGCTGTCACGTCGTCCATCTTTATATACGTCGATCTGATGTTCAGGTCACACACACTCTACCAACTTGCACACTCGAGAGGTTCTTACAGGTCTTTCTTTCGAGTCAGGGACTCCACAGCCGTCTGAACGCTGCAGTGAATGAAGGGCAGAGCGGCGTCAGGTTGAGTTCACACATACGGACGTGATGTTTGAGGCGGAGGAGAAGTTTTCCTTCTCACTGTTACCTTTCTGAGTCGCTCTCATCGCTCGACTCCACCTCCTCCAGGGCGGCCTGCAGGTCGACGATGCGGCGGATGGACGTTTCCAGGTCGGCCTGTAACGTCTGTCTGACCGCGCTCAGCTCCTCCACCTGCATTTCCTGTAAACAAACATTGACACAAACACTCACCTTCAGCAGGTCGGCCGTGTGTGTGTGTGTGTGTGTGTGTGTGTGTGTGTGTGTGTGTGTGTGTGTGTGTTTCCCGCCCTTCCCCCCTCCAACCTGTTCAGCCCAATCCGCCACAGCAATTACCTGCATTCTGGCCCATATTACCTCATCAGTCAAACACTGAGCATCCAATGGCGCGTCCTCTCTCTCGTACAGTCCTACGACCTACCAGCCCGCGGTGCTGATCGCTGCCCGGCTCATTTAGGGAGAAGATTGTTACATACGTGCGCTGACATTGAGAGAATAGGATTGATTTATTAATTCATCTGTTGTTGGGTTATTTTTTTGGTTCGTTCTGTCTCTCCAGTATCCTGTCACACACACACACACACACACACACACACACACACACACACACACACACACACACACACACACACACACAGAGAAAAGCTTCAAGGCTTTCAAAGTTATTGGCTTTGTTGGCTTTGAGGAGACGGGTGTGGGTGCAGCGGTTGTCATAGAGACACATAACCATGTATGAATGTGTGTGTGTGTGTGTGTGTGTGTGTGTGTGTGTGCCCATAACCTTGAAGAGACAATGAGGATTAATCACAGTCAGAGAGAGAAAGCAGGATGAGGGAGAGATGACGTTAAGAGGAGGAGGAGGAGGAGGAGGGTGTGTGTATGAATATGTGTATTAATGTGTGTGTGTTTGTATAGTTGGTTGGTAGGTTGTTAAAGGGCATCCTTTTGTGTGTGTGTGTGTGTGTTTGTGTGTTGCTTTCTTTGTGCTAATAACTGAATAATTATTGAAGCTTCTCTTTTTCTGAGCGCAGAGGTCACACAGAAATCTAGTGAGAACAAGACTGAGTCTGTATCTGACCTCCGCAGTGAGAACGTTCATCAGATCCATGTGTTTGTATTCGTTGATGTCATACATCAGATTGGATTTATTGTAGTGTCACTGGGTGTATGTAAACATAGCATAATTAAATCTGTGATATTAACAATAAAAGTCCCCCAGTCCAGCAGCTTAGCAGAGCTAACGTTATGCATTGTCCCCAACAATGATAGGACGGGTGTGCTGACGGCCGCAGCCTGAAGTGGCGGGCTGAATAGCGGACGAGATGTTGGAGGATCTCTGATAGAAAGTATCAGTGAGTTTTGAGGATGAGCCACTGAAGGACGACACTCTTTAACTCGCTAGTAGGTGTCCCTTTATCAGGTAATAATGGACACCCAGCAGCCAATCAGAATCCAGTATTCACCCAGACCATGGTATATATACTATACTATATTAAATATAGTTAACTATTTATTGAAATAATGAACTATTTTCAGTTTAATAATAAATATTTGGTTAGTAATGAGTATATTTAACTTTAAAATGACTCATGAAAAACAAGTTCAAGGATGTAACATGGAAATTAAAAAAATTAAGTAGTTTTTAATGAAAAACATATGAAACTTTTCACTCAAAGAAATGTTATAAATCAGAAATGAAGCTGAAAAGTAGGAAAATAAGATCTAAGAATATATAAATAACATTAATAGCTTATAACAAATACACACTTACTTCATACGTTAGATACCAGCGTATTTACAGGTACGATTATTACATTTATGGCTGTGTATCAGTTCATTTTCTGGCCTGTGTGGAAAGTCCACCAGTTACAGCAGCTCTGTAACAAACATATCCTACTTGGCAAACTGTTATTATGGAAATAAACTTCATCCCTCATATGAGGATGTAATTATCAGAGAATGTGTAGGAGTGTTTATGTGTGCAGAGGCCCTCCCTCCTGCTGTCAGCGCTTCCGATGATCAAACTTGTGCAGTAATGAAAGTGATGTTTTCTAATGTTCCAGATAATACGCCAGCTGTTGTTTTTGTTAATGAGAACAGCGGAGAAGAGCCCGGGTTTTGGGAGAGCGCTGTACTTTCAATCATAGCCCGGAGGAAGTGTTTGCTGCCAGAGCTTTTTTTTTTTTACCAGCCTCGCTTTAAAATGTTGTCTCGCAGCCGGGATGTGAGTAACGCCTGTTGGGGTTTATATTTAGCTGCCTCAGCGGCGCCCAGGTAGTAGCGGCGGTGATCTGTGTGCAGGTGGCGGGAATGTCAGACGACGAGTGAGGAACTGTTCTGTTCCTCTAACTATCTCCGATCCAGACAAGAGGTTGCTATTTGTCTTGTGATGGAACGCCAACACTTTTATCTGCTGCTTTTTTCCCTTAAATGTGCCAAGAGTGTGACATACAACAGTGGTTCCCAACCTGGGGGTCTGGATCCTCACTATGGGTCGCCAAAGCTTCAGGGGGGGTCCTATGGCCTTCCTGATTGTAAGGGCTGCAAGAAATCTTTAAAAATATTCAGGATAGGCCTAAATTGTCTCTGTGTTTTGAAGAAAACTAAATGAAAATGTTGTTATTAATGTTCAGATTATTATTTAAGAACAGAAGCTGTATCCTCAGAGCCTTCAGTTTCTGATAAACAACCTCATCCTGCATTAGAAGATGGAGAAGAAAACACTGAATTTCTTGAAAAAGAAGCCAATGAAGTGTATTTGATTGTTAAAAATAAAGAATACATAATACAGATGAAGAAGTTCCTAAAAAATATCTAGAACTTCCTGCTGTCGTCCTTTGTTTGGGTTCATTGTGCAGTTTATCAGCGGTCGTCAGTTAATTCATTGATAGAAAAGGAAATGATGAAGAAGGTTGGGAACCACTGACATAAAAGAATAAAATAAGGAGAGAACATTTCTGTGAGTAAACCAGGATGTCTGTCAGGCTGTTAGCTAGCTGTTTCCCTCTGCTCCCAGTCTTTGTGCTAAGCTAACAGCTTCATAGTGGACAACCATGAGTGTGGCACAAGCAGTGACCTCTGCGAATTTACTGACCAAACTGTGACCAGGGCTGTGTTTAAAATGGACAAGAATACAGTAATGAACTGTGATCCTAAAATACAGTACTTTAGATACAGTTGATTAAGTTTTAGAGGAAACTTTAATGGTTACAAGGTTGCTGCTGTAATTTACGGTGTTTAATACGGTATATATTGGTGTGAGGGTTTGTTACCAGCTCCATGCGTCTGCGGCCGCTGTCCTGCTCTCTCTGAATCAGCTCTTCCATCTCCAGCCTCATGTCCTGCAGGCGCTGCAGGTAGTATCGGGCGTTCTCTCTCTCTCGAGCTTCAGTCTGGGCACTCTGCTCCAGCTCCTCTCCCAGACGGACCACGCTGTCCCTCAAACGCAGCACCAGCACCTGCACAACCCAGGACAACGTTCAGATAAAGAGCCCTGCAAAGAGGGGGGGGGACACTGTGGAGAGTGGGAATGCATTCTCACCTCAAACCTCTTCACTTGGCCTCTCTGAAACTCCAGTTTATTCTCCAGGTCACATACACGTGCCTCCTGTTTACTGACGATGCTGCGCCCCACAGTGGACGACTCCAGGAACTGCACCCTCGACACACACTGCTGCAGCTGCATGATGGGTGAGGTGGAGAGAGGAGAGAGACAGATCAATGCACAGATACGCCACCGAAGGTCTGTGACAGCACATTGGGGTTCACGTTCTGATGGTCTCACCTCCTCGTGGAGAGAGTGCCGCTGCTTCTTCACCTCCTCCAGTTCGGCCTGAAGCTCTCTGATCTGAGAAATATCACTGGAGGACTAAAGCAGAGAGAAAGTGAGGCAGAGATTCAACTTCAGGATGAATTAAGGTTAAAGTTCAGAATTTTTAAACCTTTTTAAAAATAATAACCACTTTTGTTTTACTATCATCATCATAATTAACTAATTAATTCACTTGTTTCTTATTTCTGATCCCTTGTCGGTTCTTACTTTCAGAGAGTTCCTCACTCTATATGTCGTTTTATTTCTATTTCACATATGTTTCCTACTAACTTCAATGCCACACGCATTGTATGGACCAGTGTTTCCCAACCTGGGGGTCAGGGCCCCCACTAGGGGTCGCTAAAGCTCCACAGGGGATCTTGAGGCCTTCTTGATTTTAAGGCCTGTAAGAAAACTAAATAAAAATATACACAGAAGGCCAATATCTCAGCGTTTGGTTCATTTCTGTGAAGAAAAGTAAATTGTCTGATAGAACAATGACAGGATAACACTGAATTGGTCAGAAAGAAAGCAGATCAAGTCTGTATGATTGGTAAAAATGATTTAAAAAATACATAATACAGACAGAGAATTGTATAAAAAGTTCCCTAAACAGGAAATAATCTGCACAAAATCCATCCAAATCTCTGGTTTTACACAAACTTCCTGCACTTACCGAGTTCACTGTTTGTGTTCATTGCACAGTTTTAAATATAATATTAAAAATCCATCAAATATGTGACTGAGTCAACTGAACGATGAACACTGAAGGAATCCCTAACCAGGAGAAGCCGACTGCAACTCCCATGATCCCACACAACTTCACCAAGCTTTGTCTTTTGTTATTGTTTTGATGTGAGTGGCAGTAATTACATATTGTACGTTTAAGACACTTTAAGGCTTAAGATTATTGGAGTAATAAGAGCTAGAGAGAAACCGTGGAGTGACAGCCGTACCTGAGCAATGAGCGCTTTGTGCTTCTTCATCAGTTCGTTCAGGTCTTCCTGGTCCTCCTCGAGCCTCTTCAGCAGATCCACCTTCTCATGCTGCAGCAGAGCCAACTGCTCGTCCACCTGGATGAAGATAAACAGGTGTGATTTCAGCTTATATCAGCAGTGTTCCCCGCAGACACACTGATGAGATTATGTTCAACAAAGGTTCAGAGAAAGAGTTCAGGGAATTTTCCTCTACAATAAAGGCATTTTTAATTACCACTTACTTTAAAACAAGTTGTTTGGTTGATTAGATTACACTGTAAAACCAGATAAGTTAATTTAACTCCAAAAAGCACAAACTTAATTTTGTGAGTTAATTAAGCAGCTTAAGTATTTTAAGTAACACTTTATTTGTACTGGGAAAACAAAATACCCAGTAAAAAGTTCTTTAACTTACAAAACTAAGTTATTGTCCCTTAAAATCACTAGTAAAAGCTTCTTCATCAAGAATCAATTCAATGTAATCTATTTCAACATTTTTTGAGTTAAAATAACTTATTGCATTACAGTGTACTAAATACTAAATAAAAATTAAATTTTTCAACATTATTTATGTCAACATAACTCATCGAAATAATGTTTGCAACTAAATCACTTCATTAGAACCATGCATTTAATTAGGGGTGGAAATAGGTCCACATCTCAGCTTTTTATTCATTTCTGTGAAGAAAACTAAATTAAATTGTTATTTTTAAGGTTTAAATTATTATTTAAGATGTAAGCTTTGAAGACCTGAGCACAAACTTTATTCAGAGAGCTTCACTCTCTGATAAACAGCCTCGTCCTGCGTTAGAAAACAACCGAAGAGCTGATAGAACAATGAGCAGAAAACACTGAAAGTGTACAAAAAAAGACAGAAAGAAGCATATTAAGTCTGTTTGTTTAAATATCAAAAAAATTTGTTTTACACAAACTTCCTGCATTATTGTGTTTACTATATGTACAGTTTATCAGCTGTTCTCCACTGTTAATGTTGCATTAAATATAATATGAAATATCCCTCAAATTAGCCAGTTTACTCGTGATAGTAAACAGATAAGGAACCACTTCAATGAATACTGTGTGCTGACAGAAAAATCTCCCTCATGTCAGTTTCATCTCAATCATGCTTTTGTTTCTACATGTTTAATCTGTCACCTGTCTGCGTCCGTCAAACCCACACTCACCATACTCTTCAGTTTGCAGATATTTTCCAGTTCAATCTGAGTGTTCTCCAGCTCCTGGGACAGAGTCGTCTGAATGCTCTCGGCCTCCAGACGCCTCGCTTCGCTCTCCTCCAGCTAGTTGGAGACACAGAGAGTTTGTGAATCGCACGATACGTACAATATGTAATTATCTCCTGTCACAGTCGACCTATTGTTCAACAATGTCACCAAACCTTATCAAACATGATAAACAGCAGGGTTTTCCTACCATTACTGTATAGCCTGTTAGGGAATGAACAAACTCTATTAGCCTTCCCTTGTTTCTTTAAGTGCAATTTTTGTATCCATACGTAAGATTTTGATTTTACGTATTATTTTTATGTATTAATCTTTTTTCTTTGCCAATGTGTGAACAGGTTGTAACATAACTTAAAAAAATAATGTTTTTATTATGCTTCCCTACAGTGTGCAACACTAGTCATATTGTTTTACCTAGCTACAGGATGCAGACTGCAGTTCACTTAATGGCCACTGGTGGTGCTGTTAACAACAGTTTTATAAGTTACATATAGAGAGTCCATTTTATGTATTATTTTAGTTGTGTAGTTTGAATTATCAAGGATATTTTAGTATATTTTTCACCTTCTAACTGAAAGTTAATTGCTCTTTGAATCATTCAATCATGGTATTGTTACATCAGGTGAGTGTACCTGGCAGTGCAGACGCTCTATCTGCTCCCTGCTGCCGTTGGGCAGGTTCTGCCCCGGGTTGTCGACGGTGGAGAGGAGCAGCTGGGCGTCGGCCAGCAGCGCGTGAGTCCTCTTCAGGTCTCTCCTCAGCTTCTTCTCCACATCGAAGTCTCTGTGCCCCACCTGCAAGGCGAGACACCTTACATTAATCTTACCTGGAAAACACTTGAACTTGAGCTGTACGCCAGCTTGGCCACGGACCAGGACCGGGCCACTCATCAGGAGTCCATTACAGTGACAGAGACAGAGCGCTAAATTAGCTGCATATGCTTGTTTTGTGGTGCCTGTAATGTAGCGATGATGTATTCATCAGCTAGAGAACTTTAACCCACAATAATAATGATCTATGACAGACTCTCACTGTGGGAATAAACCTCACACACCCAGAAATCAACCAACGTAACGATGAGCCTGATTTCATATGAGTAGTTGTGTGTGTGTGTGTGTGTACCTGGTCACACAGAGTTGCTATGAGTCCTTCCAAGTCGTGCTTCTCATGAATCACCATCTGTTTCTCTTCGTACTCCTGTTCCAACTGCATCTCCAGCTGCCTCAGCTACACACACACACACACACACACACACACACACACACACACACACAAGAAGACAAAAATGATAAACGGCCACTCTGATTGAGCTTTTATTGTCCTTGACAGGAAGTTTCCCCCTGCAGCAGGATGCATAATGATCAGCATAAAAACTTCATCAGCGTCTGTGGAGGAGCGTAAAGACATAAACAGCACAGAATGGCGGAGTCCGCCAGTCCCAACGATCTTCTGTTGGATGAGTTTGGTGGTTTAAATTCTTCATCGAGGTACCAGACTCAAAAAGTCAAAGTCAAAAAAGAAGCTTATTAATGTCTATATTGTTCAAATTATTTTAAAAAACATAATAAAGACAGAGAATTGTATAAAAAGTTCCCTAAATGGGAAATAATCTGCTCAAAATTCATTCAAATCACAAATTTTACACAAACTTCATTTCATTGTACAGTTTTGCATAATGATAACAATAATATGAAATATCTAATAAAATATGTCCCTGAGTCAGTTTACTAAAAGAAAGAACTGCTGGTCTAGGAAGAACCTTACAGAATATATAACATATAAGTCCTATATAATCAATAAATAGAGACCATGCATGCGTTTACGTGCAGCAGAGGTTAAAACATTGCCCTCAATTTGTGAATGTAGCATTACTGGATCAGAGTCTAATTCTTTATTAAAAAACTGATTTTGCTGTAAAACTACTTTTACCCAGAAATCCTGTTTTTAAAGGTAATATTATTAATTTGCTTTAGTGGAAGAAAATTCTGTTCACACAGTTTAAATAAGTTTGGAGAAATGCTGAACATGAGTTTAATATACTTACTAGTTTTAAGTGCTATTAACTAAATGTACCTTTCCTTAACAATAAATGAGTTACTTGTACTCAAAGCTTTGAGTTAACTCATCAGGTTTTTACAGTGCAGTGCAAGTACTTTTGTTTTTATTTTATTTACTTTAATATTTCTACTTCACATCTCAGAGGGAAAATACTTTTTACTACATTTATATGATAATTTCAGCAACAAATACATTCTGAAGTACTATTATAGGTGAAGATAAAACCTTATTGATCCCTTGGTGGAATTTTTACAAGCTGTGCTAGAATGAATAAAACTAATGAGAACTAATATCAGTGCATTTGTCAATGTCTGGGGCCCCTTTCTCAAGTACACTGAGATTTATTCAAATATTCCAAACTAATGAATTAATTCTGGAGGGGTACGGCTGTCCCGGACCCTCGCAACCTGTCGCAGTCAAGCACTTCCCAGGTGACATCTGTGAGGGTTCAGGGATTTGTTTGCCTGTTTCGACGGCCTTATCCGGTTTTCATCTGTGCCTGTTTTGTTTACTTTTGTTATTACATCATCTGATCTGCCCTCCTTTGTCTGCATTTGGGTTCAATCTCCTGTTCTCTCCCGGCTCGACGAGGGTGACAAAAACCTGTGGGAACGTCGTGCTTTCTGCTTGATGTAACTGCAGAGAAGTGATGTAACTGCTGTCTGGTTGCATAACATTATGAAGCAGGAAAAAAAAAAACCTAAGTGGATCATTCAGTGAAAAGATTTGGCCGAGGAAGGACATTCAAAAATCTGTACACACATAACCAAATACTGCTCTCTTACACAACAAAAGGCTTTTAAGTTCAGCGTTACTATAGACTGAATTTTCTTTTTTTTCTGATTCTCTTGTTATCAGTTGAAAGACGGCATGATGTTCAGAACATGTTGTAAAGGTTTTCTCAATACAGAGAAAGTTCAAGCTCGCATCCTTGGAAGTTTGAATATAGCCGTTGAGAACGGAAAGAGGCTGAGAGTGCAGCTGGAACAACGGTGTCCGGCTCTGCAGAAGAAGGCTGGAGAGCTTGTGTTTGGATGCTTTATCCTATCAATGTTAAATCTAAAGTTCGGTCAGGACCACTTCTGTCAAAAGAAAACTTTATTACCAAATGCAGAACGTTATATTTTTAGCAGTATTGCTCTGTTCTGGGACCTCTCTGCCCTTTTATGTGCATACATGGAAAGTTTAAGACAAGGCGAGCAGCAGCAAGGAATCCTCCAGGGTACCAAACATCAGTGACAACCAATTAATTCAGATATCGCATAAAAGGAAGAGCAGCAAAGGTAGAAAGGCTAAAGCTGCTTAAATAAGGCGCCGCGAAGGACATTTATTATTGGATGCTTGAAGGGAATCAGCTGATGTAGCTGGAATTGAGATCTGAGCTTGACTCTGATTGTTGGAAAGACTGCTTTTATTCTGCTTCAGTCCACTTTGAATGAAGTTACAATGTTATGATCTGTGAGGTAAAATTGCTGTTTTTCTCTATGGAGTCTGGTGGAGAGTGATAGTGATCCTTTCCATAATCCTGTCAGACACTTAGAATAACAATCTGAGCCAAAGTACTTAATTATTTTCCACCTCTGGCTGCAGGTTGATGTGAAATTGATCCTGTGATGTTTGATTTTGAATCTGGACACTTGAACCTCTGTATGGCCTTCAGTTATGAATCAGTTATTACATGAACTGATTGTAATGTGTTGACCTACCCGCCTCTGAGAGGACTTGTGTACATCCTCTAACTCCTCTTCCTTATCCTCCAACTCCTTCTGATGGATCTGCTTCATCCTCTCCATCTCCATCTCAAAGCGCATGTGGACCTACGAGAGAGAAGAGGGCAGAGGTGAGGAAGACGGCAGCCAGTGAGTATCAATGTGAGCGTGTCTGCGTGTGCGGCGTAAGCACCTGTTGGTGCTGCTGTATTTTGGCAGTGAGCGTGGTGATTTCCTCCGCTCTCTCGCTGGCCTGGCTCTCCAGGAAGCGAAGCTGCTTCTTGAGGTCAGGTAGCGAATCGGAGGCGAGATCAACCGGCAGGCTGAGGTCACGGATCTGAGCGCACAACTCCTCCTTCTGCTTCTGGAGACGGCCCACCTCGGACTGGCTCTCCTGCACACGCCCACACAATAAGCACTGCTGATATCAAAAACACTTCAGTTCATCCTCCAACTTAGCGATTCTTGGTTTCTGCAGCGCGTCTGCAGCCGGCACAGGTTAAACAGCTTAATCTCGCTCAAGGATAGTTTGGCAGGTTTGGCCACACGGGAGAAACTGAAGCACAGCAAAACGAAAACAAAGACGGTAAACAGCAGAGTTTTGTGTGTGAGAGAGGAAACAGTTCAACTAGAAAAGCTTTTTATATAAACCAAACCTGCATTTAATGAGTATACAGACAAAATATAACCAACTAATGGATTTTTGTATATTATGGATTAAGCTGCCTTCCCAGCAGTATAAACAGCAGTTAGAATTAACTCTACATCTACCAGCTGCAACATTAAAGTGATAAACACATTAATGCATTGATAATTATAATCTAATTATATCATATTTATTATTCTGATCACTACTTATAGTGTTGACATTTTACTTTTTCTACACTGTGGTAATACTTTTACTTAAAGGACCAGTGTGTAGGATTCAGTGGCATCTAGCAGTGCAGATTGCAACTCCCTCACTTCACCCTTCCAAGCATGAAGTGTCACATTCAGGTGATTAAACACTAATGAAAACATACCATATTTCTGACAATAGATCCTCCTCAATGTTACACACTGGAGCTTTAAAGGCTCTATAAGGAGTTTTTAACTGGTTATAAACAGGTTCAGTTTAATACTGATGACTTTATATGACCAACATTTACAAACAACACCATCAGAAAGAAGATTGGATATTTCTGTATATTTATTCTTAATGAAATCAATAAAATTAAAATTCCCCATAAGTATTATAGTGAATATTTCAGTTCACCATTAAGCACAGACAAATTAACAAGTAATTTCACCAGAGTAAGCTAACAGCTAATTCACATAAAATGATCTGAATCAGTAAAAAGAGTTCCTGAGTGTATTGAACTGAGAATTTACTTAATTTATTAAATACTGTTTTATTTCCTCTTTTAGAAGTTACAAAGTCTTCATTTAAAGTTTGAAAACCTTTCTTATCTGTCCTTTTAGATTTAATTGAAGAACTAAATCATTGACAGGGAACAATAACATTATTAATTTATTACCTTTTATTTCTTTGTTCCTTTCCTTTCTCTGACTCGCACTTTTATTTTGTGTTTTTCATGTCTCTGTTTCTGATGTACTCCGGCCTGAACCACCATTATTGTGATGGCTCCCGTCCTCCCCTGCAATTATCCATTTAGTTTTATTATTGCATGTCTTTAACCGTCTTGTTTTAGTTGACAACAATGGGAAATTGCAGAGGCAGAGGAGCATAATTGGATGACTGGACTGTGTGTTCTGTGCAGGAGTGAAAGGTCAGATCTCTTGTTGTTTGGATACGATGACATAAACCTTTGAGTAGCTGCACAACATACCGTCTGTCATATGTCAGATGTCCCGTTGACTCCACAAGTCTCTGACTCATCAATCTACGAGGCAATTTACGTCATTTTACCGGCATGACATTGTCTCATGAATCATATGTGACAACTGTAATTTCCACAATAGATTATGTGCTCTTTTCTAGGTTTGTTTGATGAATGATGGTCATTGATGTTTTTCCTTGAAGAGCTTTATTTTATCTGCAGTGTTTGTGTGTGTGTTATTGTTTTAAGGAGTGTTTTAAACCTGCAGTCTATGTAACGGCCAGCAGGGGGCGGCTCCATTACCATTCAGTCTTATGGAGAAATGAGTCAACTTCTCAGTTGATTTATGAGCTCAGTAAACAGTTTCCTGATGAGTTTCTGGTCTCAGTCTCTAGTTTCAGTCTTCTTCCATACAGCATGATGTTCATTTAGTAACTGATGGTCCCATTTAGAGTAAAACAGACCATAAAGCAGGGTATGCTTTAGGGTGGGGCTACCTTGTGATTGACAGCTCATTCTCAGTGAGTCCGTCCAGCTCGACGCACCAAACTCAGATCAATCACCATTTATATTCTTTACCACACCGTATCCATGACTACACAAAAAGAGGACCCACTCCCTCTGTAGATAAAAATGTCTCATTTTAAGAACAGAAACATTCTCGTTTTCAGGTTCTACGCTAGTGAAACACACACCTGCAGGCTCCGGCGTAGGGTGTATATCTCCGCCCCCAGAGCTGTGTTTTCCTGACAGGCTTTGTCCTTCAGCTCTCTCTCGTTGTCGGCTTCCTCCAGAGCCTGAGTCAACTCATTGTCGAACCTGAACAAACACAACAACACGCAGACACAACAAAAAGAGGATTCAGGTCACATAACGAGAACGCTGAGTCATTTCCAGGATATTTGGTCATTTTACTACATTTCCAGGTGTTTCCATACTAGTCTCTAAATTTCCAGGTTTTCCAGGACCCCCCCCCCAGTGTTGAGAGTATAAAGAATAAGCTGATGAAGCAACAGGTTATCATGACTCAGACAGTTTGAGGGGAACAGGCGGACACAGACCTCCTCTGTTTGCGGTCCACCTCGTGCATGCGGCTCTGCAGACTGTCAGTGAGGACTCGAGCGTCCTGGAGGTCAGAGGTCACACGCCGACAGTGACGTTTCAGTTCTGTCGCACTCCGCCTGGACTGCTCCAGCTGGGCCTGCAGCGCTGCCACCTACACACACACACACACACACACACATTACACAGTGTTATTACCTTCAGACATTTAATCTGCCATCAGTGTCGCGGCGCACGTCACAGCGTCCTGTCTCACCTTGGTATCGAGCTGTTGTCGGGTCTGTCTCTCCGTCTCCAGTTTTTCCTCCGTCTGCTTGAGTCGTCTGCGGACAAATTCGACCTCCGTCTGGCAGCACTCCAGCTGCATGGCCAGCTCACTGTCTGTGTGTGTGTGGGGGTGGGGGGTGTGTGGGGGGGGGGGGGGGGGATGTGACTTTGTCAGGGGTGATGGACGGGGTCACTTAACGCCTGATGACATTCCTCTAGTCTGAAACCAGCTCAGGTGCCACAGCAGTTTTGTTCTTGTTAGACATGTTTTCTTTCATTTTCATGGCTTAAAAATCACTACCAATTATTTGACCTATGACCCCAAAACTGCAGCTCCTGGACTCTGTGTTTGTATTAGCATAAACAGATTTATAGGCAGTGCAAAGACAGCGTGCAGGGACTACAGTCCGACTGTCTTCTTCCTGATAAATTCTGATTCTTATTACATTAAATCTGTAATTTCTTGTTGTTTCATGTGTAAAAAGTTGAAATAGATGATTGATTAAGAATTTTATGAAGTTTAACCAATTCATTTTATTTATCGCAGTAATACCTTATCCTTTCCAGCTAGCATTAGCGCAGTAATGTCCGAACTATTGTTACAATTGTTACTATTAAAAATGGAAATTGATTTAATAAACTGGCCACGTGGCTCGAGTTCAATGGAAAATATACATTTATTTGAAAAAACGTCTGAAGATTTGGAAATAAAACCTTCAGATATTTATATTCAATGCTAACTAACGTGCTACAATAATGTTTTTGAGGTCAAATATCTTCATTTGGGTGTTTTTCCAAAGAAATATTAATAAACGTGATTGAGATTAAATCAGCACATATTTCTGACGCCCTCTGGCCACCCTGTGAATATTTCTCTAGATCCGCCCCTGTAAGGCCGCTGTGAGCCGACGTTATTGATCCATACAGCAGCTGTAAAGGACAAACTTCACTTCATGCAGTTAAGAGACTTTACTGTACGTCTATCTTTTCATCCACTCCACAATCTTTCCCACGTAACCCATGGCAACTGCAGAGGAACGATGGCCTTCAGTCAAACAACATCGGACACGTGACAGATTTAGTTTTTTTTGAGTTCTTAGCACTTCATAGACGACATCCTCCTCCACCGCCCCCCCACAGACCCTGATCTCTACCTGTCCCCGCTCCTCTCTGGCTCTCAGCGATCTGGACTCTCTGTTTCTCCTCCTCCAGCTGCTTCTCCAGCGTTTCCATGGTGACCTTACACTGGTCTAGTCGAGCCTGGCGGAAGAAGAAAAGAGATGTTTGACTGTGAAGAGGCAGCAGCAACCTCAGGTGTGTGATGGAGAAGTTGTTAAACAGCGAAGAGCTGGAGCTCGTCCAGTGAGTAATAGATTACTTTTTCCTACCTGCAGGTCTTTGTTGTCCCTGCTGAGCCGGAGTCTCTCTGCCCTCTCCACATCCAGAGCCTGACCCACCGCATCGCCACGGAAACGCTCATCGCTTAGCTCAGATGTCACCGCCATAACCTACACACACACACACACACACACACACACACACACAGCGACATGAGACTGTGTGTGTGTGTGTGTGTGTGTGTGTGTGTGTGTGTGTGTGTGTGTGCTGCAGCACAAACCTTGGTCTCCAGACTGTCTGCAGTTTGCCTCAGCTCATTCCTCTCCTTCTCTGATTTCTCCAGGCGTCGTCTCAGAGCCGATATCTCGTCCTGACAAGAAGAGGAAGAAGAAGAGGAAGAGGCGTCTCAAGGCGACTGAAACATCTTTTAAAGTTGCGTCTGAAAGGATTGGTTATATGAACTCTTTGTTAGCATCGGAGCTTTTACTGCGACGGTCACCTGTTGCTCTCAGAGGTTTCCAAACCAAATCAAATATGAAACAGCCGAGGTCAGCAGAGTCTCCAAATCGACCAGATTACTGAAAATATATTTAAACTCACCACTGATGTTTTCAGAGCCGCACAATCTGCTGGTTGTTGATTAAAAAAGTTTTAAAACTTTTAAGTTTTACAAAAAATAGCAGGAGCTCATGTAAGAGACATTACGTGTGACAGAGAAGCTTCAGTGTTTTCTTCTCGTTGCTCTGTTGGCTCTTTAATGGTTCTAACTTCTCTAATGCAGGATGATGCTGTTGATCCTTATTGGACAAGAAGTGACTGCACTGAGTCAGGAAACATCATTAACCTCTTTCACATATTAAACAAACGAGATTTAACGTGTTAATTAATGAGCTTCAGTGGTGTTGGTAGGACAGAGCCAGGCTAGCTGTTTCCCTCTGTTTCCAGTCTTTATGCTAAGCTAAGTGTGTGTGTGTAGTCCCGGATGTGTGTGTGTGTGTGTACCTCTTTAGCCCGCAGCCTTTCATTGTCCATGTTGACGTCGAGCAGAGGTCGCACTCTGCAGAAAAGTTTCCACCAGCTCCACTTGGCCACGACCCTCAGAGCCCTCAGGTTCCTCTGCAGACAGGTGACCGCCATCTGCTGCACCTGGACACACACACACACACACACACACACACACACACACACACACAAGACACACACACACACACACACACACACACACACACACACACTATTTAAATACAATCTGGTAGTTAAAACTACTTTCCTCCTGTGATGAATTCGGGCAGTGACCATTATCTAAAGTAACTCACATTTTGACTGAAATGACCAATAGAAATGTTAGCACTGTGTGCATTTAAAGGGCCGCATTTGGTGAACCTGAAGGACCAGTGTGTAGGATTTATCTCGCAGCGAATTTACCGCTCGTCTTTCGGGCATAAAGGAGAAACTAGGGTCTTTTTCCTTAAGATAACATATTTAACATATTTTATGACAACTGATAAATTGTACAATTAAAAAAAAACACACTGGCGTCATATATCTCAACATTTCATTCATTTCTGTGAAGAAAACTAAATTAAACTGTTATGTTTAAAGTTTATATTACATTGTAAAACTAGATCAGTTCATTTAACTCAAAGAATTGTTGAAACTGATTACATCAAAATTTACAAGTTACACAAACTCAATTTTGTAAGTTAAGGAAACATTATTGATCAAGTATCTTTAATAATTTGTTAGTTACACTAAATAACTTTTTATTTTTATATGTATTGTGGGGGAAAAAAACCTAATAAAAACTATTTCAGTGTACTAGTTTGTTTAACTTTTTTTCTGAGTTAAAATGACGTATCGCATTACAGTTTATTATTTAATATCTAAACTTTGATGATCTGAACACAAGCTGTATTAGAACAATGGCCAGTTATCAGGGAGAAGAAAACGCAGAATTGGTCAAAATTATAGACGGATTACCGACTTCTACAGCTGCACCAGAGCTTAAGCTTCTTGAAGGAGAAACGGTGTCTCATCAGCATACAGATTACAGACACTAACCTTCAGTTTACGGTATTTCTGACGGGCCAGGTGTCCCATGCAGGAGGCCTGTAGATGCACCAACCAGCCGGTGACCTGCTGGTCCCTCTGCTGCTCCAGGTAGCGCAGCACTCCTCGTTTCATGAACACCTGAAGCAGACACAACAGGAAGAAGATTTGTGAGTCACGTTACATCGGCCGGCTCTGCTGTTTGATCAGAGGAGCTCAAACATGTTCTCACCCGGCCGGCGCCCACGACGATGCTCTTTTTATCCAGATCCAGCTCGACCAGCAGCTCCTCCACCGCCTGAGACACACAGACAGGACATTTTAATTCAGAGCCACAGATCAGAGACGTTGTGTTTGTGTGACAGAGATGAGCTTCCTGACCTTTCTCTCATCGTGGCTGACAAACATCGAAGCGTAACGTTTCATAATCGGAGGAGACAACGCCTGGAAGTAACACCTGAAGTCACTCAAAGTCATGTGTTCTGGATAACCTGAGAGAGAGGAAGGCAGACAGACGGATAAAACACACAATTTATTTCCATATTTAGTTTTCTAAAGTAAGTAAAACTCATCCAAATAATGTGTGGGTGGATGAAACTGTATTGAGCCCTGCAGATAAAAACAAATGAAAATAAGATTTACATGCTAAATAAGGAGCAACACAACTCTGTAAAAAGAAAAATGTACCAAAAAAACCAACAGTAATATTCTGTTTTTTAGCTTTAATTTTACATAAAATCTTTCTTTAAATTTTTTAATTAATTTCAAATTAAAGATATTTAAAAGAAATTTAAGCCTGTATTTATAGGTAATTTCATTGTTTTTACATATGTAAGTAGATAAAGGTCAGATATTTTTGACAGTGTAGTCTGTTAAACTATTATTAATATTTTATAAATGAAGGCTTTTAATATACAATGCCAGTTAACTGATGCATCTAAGATAGCCCTACATTTGTGTCTGGAGTGAAATCTTGCTGCATTAACTATTAAAGTTAATAATAATAAGCTGAAGTGCATATATAACTTCTCAACATTAAACTCCTCCTTATTTAGTATTTCTGACCACGAAATCGACAGACTGGATGTCGACCGAAACCTTCATTTATGTCCAAATATATCACTCTAATTTAACAGTGAGCAGTTTGTAATATGTTTCTGATTGAACTGCTCCCAGATCAGCACCACTGCTCCAACTTTAATCCCATAATCTATTAAATTCAGGCTGTGGTTGCTTCCAAACTACTTGTAACTTAAAGCTCCTGTTTACTCAGCAGCACTGTGACAGTCCTGATAAAAATAGGCAGATTTTTGAAGGTAAAGTGGAGCTAAACGGATAAATCTGCTCACTTTATGAGTGTGGGCTGCATGTTCTTTGATTCTGCTTCTCAGGTAAGTCAGTTTTATTTTCATTTTGGCATCTGGACGCAAAGTTTTTCCTAATATTTAAAAAAAAGTTGATTTAAAGGGTGACACTTTACTTTGAGTCCACATATTTAGCATTTATAAGTAGTATATAAACATTTAATAAATGGTTTATAACATTATAATGTAGCTTTAAGATAACATGTAAAAAAAAAAGAAAAATTAAATGCAGTAAATAATAAAAATATAAACACTATGTACAATAAAAGAGAAAAGTAAGCCTGTGTTTGTACATGTGCAATAATAATAATGAAAACACATTTGTGTAATGTAACATATTATAACTGTTATTATAACTACATTATAGTGTGTTATAAACAATCTTATTAACTATTTGCATGGCTTATAGATGCTAAATAAAGGAAACTTAAAGTGTTACGAGATGCAGTGAAAGCTCCTCAAGAAATCAAGTAAGTGGTTGTTTAGTGAGCACTGCATTATTTGCTGTTAATTACATTCCAGATGTGCATTTTTTTTGTGCCCAAATATTTTAGTTTCTTAAGTAACTTGTAACTAAAATGTCAACTAATTGACATGAACAGTGCCTGAATTGAACCAAAAGAGGAGGCAGTACCTTCAATCAGCCCGACCCTAAACACAACACAACATAACTTAGCCTTTTTAAACGCGCATTTTCAGTGCTGTTTCCTTAATGTTAAGCTAGCTACATGTTTGCACAGAGACACAGTTGTTTAGGAGGACCTCACCAGCATTGCTGTACGCTGGGTTTTAGAGAGTCCACCACTGTTAGCAGTGTGAATGCTGACCTGTGCGGTGGAGCTGCAGGGCCGACAGGATCTGTGTGGAGTGCAGCTGGACTCTGAGTGCCGGGACGTCGAAACTTCCACCGTCACTCTTTGCAATCACACACTGCAGGAACACCGGCCTGGCTCGACGGAGCAGGTTCACCAGAGCATCCTGCAGGGTGGCGACAGTGACAGAGAGACTGAATCCAGCCCGAAGTATTCTCTGGAGATATAGCTGCGTGTACTGGTGCACTTACTGCCTGTAGTTTGACTGCGATACATTGGGAGTGTCTGCGTATGGCTGCCATCCCTCCGCTGAATGTTTTCCTGATGGTGCCGTTCCTCTGCAGACAGCGCTGGCTGCTGCCCTCCAGACCCCCCAGACCTCGACACAGAGGGGGCAGAGAGATTCTGGGGGTAAACATGGCCTTCACCACCCCTCTGAGGAAGACAAAGAGAGAAGTCATCACATGTGAAAGTTTGACATGAAAACTGATGGCACAGATGCAGTGATCAGATTCTCAAACTGCACCCACTAAAATAAGTGTTCACTATACATTGATGAGAAAATATAATTGATTATATTTATATATTTATTAGTTCTATTGGGGTATTATTGTAGCAAAATGATTGTAAATGTGTGTGGACAATTGTGAAGCTGTATCTCAATCTGTATACGTGTACAGAGATATGTGAATGTGTTAAATAATCTGTAAATGTGTACTGAGAATTTTTAAATTTATGCTGAGATTCACAGTTTTGTCTGAGAGTAAATAGACAAGATTGTACATACTTTTGGCCATCTAGTGCACTTTTAATGTAGTAAATGTAAATCTAAGCCATTCTGCCACCAGGCGCCTATTATAACACATCCACACATCCATTCTCCCACGTTCATTCTCCTGAGCCTTCAAACTGACTCACATGGTGGAGTTCTGGAGCAGACAGATGGCGTTGAGAGACGACAGGTTGTTCTGGATCAGACCAAACCATCCAGTGAGGTCATAGCGGACCGGGTCACAGCCCATCAGGTGGTTCACCTCGCACTGCAGCGGCTGCTCGCACTGACGCACTGCAGGGACATTCACAATATCCAACACTCAGATCACATTGTAAAGAGCTCACACACACTGGGAGGGGCTCTGAATGTGTGCAGCTGAGGGCTTTTTACCAGTGTTGCTGTAATACTGGCAGACTCTCTCCACGGCGCTGTTCTCACTGGAGGCTGGTGTCACCATCTCCTCATCCAGAACCCATAACAGACCTCTGGGGTCTCCATCTGCCGCCCGGACCTGAGACACACACACACACACACACACACACACACAAAATTCATCTCAAACTTCCTGCAGTTATTGTGTTCAGCTGTTTATCAGCTGTACTGTTATTGTTATGTGTTGAATATAATATGAAATATCCATAATTTAGTCAGGGGTCGGCAGTTTAGACAATGATAGAAGAGGTTGGGAACCACTAATTACTACACAAAGTGGAAGTGCTGTAGGTGAGGGTGGACTGTATGTTGTCTGAAAGGCTAGCTCTAATAATCAAAGGCAATTCAAGCATATCAACTCCTCACATCTCTTATCTGGATTTTGGCAGCTGGGATTCCAATTTTACGGAGATTTTATTTTGAAAATCAACCTGAAACTATTTCCCATGTGGAAATTATTTCCTTCTCTGGCATCATTTTTTCTTGATTTTGCAGGACGGTTGAACAAGTCAGACTTTTTTTCAATTCTCTTTTCTCTAGAACCTGCAGATCCAAAATGGGAAGAAAATAGAAGCAGCAGACATCCTGACATTTAGTTCCCAGAAAGGGTTCCAGCTCCAAAAACACTGGACAGACCTCCTGGTTGCAGTGAAGCCTTCCTGTTAAAAATCTGTCATTGTTGTGTTATTTAATGAGACTATGAAGCTGTTTTCAAAGGTCGAGTGATGACGAGTACATTGTCTTTGTGTATAAAATGAGTGGAGAGGCCCTTTAAGAAATGTGAGGGTAAGTTCTGTGAAGTTGTGGCTGTTCCCAGATTTATGTGTCTTACAGTGATTATGATGAGTTGTGTACCTGAGGAGGCGGCTGGTCGATGGCAGACACAACCTCAGCCGGGCTGTTCTCTGGATTCTCAAACCCCACCGGGATCTTCTCCTGTAACACAAGAACATATTATTATACAAATCTAAAGTACTTTACTGAGTGAGGACAATATTTTACTCCATTACATCTATTTACCCACTTTAGTTACTTTATTATTTGTGACAGCAGTTTTTACAGTCATCAATAATTAAATCACAATAACGTCTGAAGGTTTATTTACATTAAGGACACAATACAACATAAGACCAAAACATCAGGTGAGATAATTATAAATGTGTAAATTAATCTGTAAATGTGCACTATAATTAGTAAATGTGCACTATAATTTGTATATGTGTACTATGATTTGTAAATGTGCACTATAATTAGTAAATGTGCACTATAATTAGTAAATGTGCACTATAATTTGTATATGTGTACTATGATTTGTAAATGTGTACTGAGATTAGTAAATGTGCACTATAATTTGTATATGTGTACTATAATTTGTAAATGTGTACTATAATTTGTAAATGTGCACTATAATCTGTAAATGTGTACTATAATTTGTATATGTGTACTATGATTTGTAAATGTGTACTATAATTAGTAAATGTACACTATAATTTGTAAATGTGTACTATAATTTGTAAATGTGCACTATAATTAGTAAATGTGCACTATAATTTGTATATGTGTACTATGATTTGTAAATGTGTACTGAGATTAGTAAATGTGCACTATAATTTGTATATGTGTACTATAATTTGTAAATGTGTACTATAATTTGTAAATGTGCACTATAATCTGTAAATGTGCACTATAATTTGTATATGTGTACTATGATTTGTAAATGTGTACTGAGATTAGTAAACGTTTGCTTTGACTTGTATATGTAGAAACAGTTTCAACCTCAAGATAAATTCCCCTCAAATGAATTTGAATTTTTCAATTCAATCTTGAGGGGAACATTTAATGTCTCAACAACATTTAATGACAATCCATCCGATAGTTACTGAGATATTTCAGTTTGGACCAAAGTGGTAGACTGCTGCTAATGTGGCAAATAGAAATCAGTCCACAAACTAGTGAGAAACCATCTTTGCAAGGTCACTTTGAATATGCTTGAAGGAAAATGATTCCATTGTACAGCAGCAGAATAAAGACAATTTTACTCTGAAGACTTTGGTGCTACCTGGTTTCTGGTGAACACTGGAGAGTTTCCTGCAAGCAGCAGAAACTTAAAAAAAAAAAAAGTTTTTGGTCATGTCTCCTTGGGGGCTCTGTAATCCTTTCACTGTCAGAGAAGAAAGAGCTTTTGTACTTTTGGAGTACAAACTGTCACTGGGGAAGTAGCCTACATTACAAGTACACCGAGGTACCTTAGCTTGCAAGACAATTTTTGCCCTTCATCAGTTTGCTTTTATCTGTTCCACCTTTACTGACGGATATCAGTCATGTTGAATTAGGGCAGTAAAATATGAACTTTAAACTATCAGAAACTTCTTTAATGGTGGAACAAAAGCTACAAATATGATTTCTTATGTGCCTGCAATGTTACATCTGAGAAAAGTGTTCATCTCAGTACAAAGATAAACTCAAAAACACATTCTTGTGATGCATTATTGCTCAGTTTATGTCTAGTTAGTAGCATGGAGCTAATGTACAAATCAGTTATAGAAACATTGTATATAGTTAAGTTATTCTAAATATGATCAGTTATTTTACAGCGTTCAGTGTTTGACGCTGTTGGCCGACGCCCGGGATGATGCTCAGTTGTACATGTGGACGTGTAGACGCTACCTGTGCGTATCTCTCCAGTGTGTGTCTGAAGGTGTGTGTGTGGTACTGCTCCAGCAGCCTCTCCTGCAGGTAGTTGTGACACAGCTCAGACCAGCTGGCTCCTCGCTCCTCCGCAGAGTGTCTGGGGTTCCTCAGGCCCGGCGTGTCCACCACCATCACAGAGGCTAACGTCAGCTGCTGACCGCTCAGAGCCCTGCACGCAAAACACACACACACAGAGCACACACATATGCATGTTATAGAAAAGTGTGTATCTGTACGTACTGTAGAGGCTATGCACTGACGTCACTCTTTCACGTTAAGCCGCCCACGCAACAACACATAACAACAGGTGGTGGCTATGAGTTACTGGAGGGAAAACAAATGAATGTGTTCATGAAGTAAAGGTCATCGAAATCAACAAAGATCCATATGACACACCAGGCAGGCAGTGGTCTGTGTGGACAATAACCAGTGATGGAAGAGGTACTCAGATCAATAACAATACCACAGGGCAGAGATACTCAAAGTTTTGCTGTCAGGTTAAATATATATATACAATATTTGGAGCATTAATACAGCAGCTATGTAAACACATGGTGGAGTGAAGCAGTGGATGCATGTTAGTGCTCGTTGTTATCATCTACGTCGGTGAATTAAGGATTTATTTCCACCAAACCAGAGTTGATGATTGTTGGAAACACTAACAGAGACGCTTTTAATCTGTTTCTGTCCACTTTGAATAAAGTTATGATGATGTGCGAGTTTTTCTCTGGAGTGGCATTTGCTGGTATGGTGTTGAGCGATAGCCACACAAATAATGCCCCTCAATTGAGGTTTGTATTGCAAAAAATGCCCAATATTAATAGTGAAAGTGCAAACATAGCTCACATGTAAAAACCCTTTTTCACTTTGCACTACACAAATGTTAAATGTGTGGCTGTAGGATGGGAGAAAAGGGGTACAGGGCTGGTCAAAGGGGGTTCAACTACACTAGAGAAATAAAAAGTAATTCCTTTCATGGCCCAACACTGTTTGTTTCAGTAGTTAACTACACAGAAAATGCTTTACATCCAGAACAAATATGTAAATAAGAGCTAATTAAACTCGAGCTGAGCTGTAGGATGTGTGTGATGTAATCTAAGGTTATTTTGAGGTTTTCCTGTTGGATGAAAACAACCTGCAGATGCATCCTTACCTGTTGATAAATGAGACTACAGCAGTGAAGAGCTCTTCATAGAGTCCAGCAGCCATTCCTTCAACGCACTGAGCAGCGGTCAGCCTGGGACCTGCAGAGACCAGAACCAGTGGACATGAACGAAGACTCAGGCTGCACAATTAATCGAAATATTATTTAAAAACGAAATTGCAGAGGCTGAATTATTAAGGTAGAATATGTGACAGATCATTATAATGAAGTTGTGTAATTCTGAAGAGACCTGACCTACAAACCTTTAGACCTTTATGATGAGTTTGAACCTGAACATTGTTGGTGTAAGAACACAACTTAACTACATATAGAACATAGAGATAGAGTTTATAAACTGTTTAATGAGGAAATGTCACAGAGTATAGCTTTTAAATCTTGTTAGCACTGGTAGCATCCTCAATCTGATTTCAGTATCACCTCCCTCACCCTCAGGCCTGCCCTGGTTATTTCTGCTTGTGCCTCCCAATAGCAATGCCTTTAGAGAGAGAGTGTGTGTGTGTGTCTGTCTCACCCTCCTCGGCCTCTGCAGCTCTCTCTCTGCTGCCCCCGGTGGCTCTCTGCAGCAGCTGTCGGAGGTGATGTTTGAAGACGGCCGTGTGCAGCTCCTCTCCCTCACAGCCGAGCACACTGCTGGCCACCTGAGCGCTGTCAAAGCTCACAAACTGTCTCCTGCCCACTGAGCCAAGGAGGGGACAACGCAGAGAGCACACGGTTATATAAGTCCACTGAGGGAAGAGCTCAAAGATCTGTTAGTGCTGATACCAAAACGTAGAAAGACTCCACTGAAAGTAATAGTTCTGCATCCAAAATCCTACTAAACGGCTGTTTGAAGTAGATTAGTTGTATATGTCTTAATACATGTCTTTGAAGTATCTCTAGTAAAAGTTTCTGGCTGCTGTGACTGATATCTGACATTATTAGATCGTTAATATTGAGTGTGGCACTGATTTGTGCAGCGGTGGATGAATTATGTGTCTCAGCTTTCCATATATTCTCAGTTTCTGCAATTCCAACACTTTATGGACTCTAGTATGCAGGAATATTCAAATTCACTAAATTAACACATTTACACCACATGCAAAACACTGCATGGGATTAGCATAAAGTGTCTGCTAATGGGAGACTCGTGGGTTCCCATTTTCATTCAGATATCTTGAGGTCAGAGGTCAAGGGATCCCTTTGGAAATGGCCAAGCCAGTTTTTCCATCGGCAAAACTTAGCCCAACTTTGGAGCATTATTCAGCCCCCTTACTGACATGCTAGCATGACATGGTTGGTACCAATGGATGCTTTAGGTTGTGTACTTTCATATGATACCAGTACCATGAGTGGAAGAGGTTAGGATGGAGGGGAATATCTCTTCAATATGTTTTTTTTATGTGAAATTAATCTAAACTGTGCATCAGTTTTTCCACTCAGCATCAGCAGTGGATGAAGTAATCTGTCTTGATCAACCCATTTGTTATTCTATATTACAGTCACAATTATCCAGAGCTCAAAGTCTCGTTTTGTCCAAACTTACAACAACATTATTCCATTTTACTGTAATTTAAAACAAGAAAATATTCACATCAGAAGCTGAAACCATGAAATGTTTCAGGCATTTTTGCATTAAAAATGACTTAATTCTTCATCATAACAGTCACTGATTAATAATTTGATTTAATAGTTTGTCATGTGTTTTTATGAACACATTTCCCTCTGAACTGGAGCAGTACAGTACTTATATATATATATATATATATATATATATATATATATTTATGTCGGTATAGTATAAAGTGTGAACAGTGCGTGTGTGTGTCTGGAGGGTTTACTGACAGAGTGTGATGATGATGATGATGATGATGATGGTGATGAATCAGTGTTACCTCTACAGGCTCCGGCAGCTCCCAGATGGTAAATACCAGCCAGGACATGCCATATCGCCTTCTGCTCGCTGGCTGAGAAGCCGAGCGTTTCCATGGCAGTCAGCAGCTTGGTGAAGGCGACGGACGCTCGCTGCTTCTCCTCAACCTAACAACAGACCGACAGACAGAGAGACAGACAGGGAGACAGACAGGGAGACAGACAGGGAGGGAGGGATCTTAATAAAGTGGAAGAACAGCTGAGTCACATCTCATCTCCCATCACAGCCTGAGTCTCTTCAAGATGGGTCTCCTCACTGCATGATTTCGCCTCTTCAGAATCCCCCTTTTTATCTAATTTTTTCTTTTTTTATTCCCCGAATACGTCAACCTAACAAGCACTGCAGAAACAGCCCATCTAGAAACGAGCCAAATGTTCTTAAACAAAATAAAATTTTCTTGTATTGAGCAAAAACATCTGCCATTGGTGTAAAACAATTCTGCTCGGCTAAAATTATTAAAATAAGCATTAAAATCTAACCACTGAAAGACTGTAATGGGTGAATGTAAGTTGAGTTTATTACAATGAAAACTCAGTTTATTTAAGATTATTAAAATAAGGATTTTGGTAACTTTAATGAGCTGAATTTAAGAATTTGTACCTTAATCAGATTAATAATTACCAATAAGACACAATTTCTTCAGCATAATAAAAATAAATGACTTTGTCTTTAATGAAGGCACCAGAAGCATTTTTTATTAAAACAATGAAAAAGTGTTAATGTTTTACTACAGAAAAAACACTAGATAACTAAGCTATAGCACAAACCACTAGCTAACAAGTGAGCAAATCTAAGTAGAAAAGCAAATGGAAACAGAAACGATTAATTTTACCATCACGTCCTTTGCTCAGAGTTTTTTGTCTAAAAAGAAAAATAATCTCATCAAGCATGTTTTGTGATAGAAAAAAAATAATAATCTAACTAACTTTGTCTTAATAGGATATAACAGCTAACATTGAGCTTGATTTAACCAGTAACATAATATCCCGGCAGAGGAACAAGATTATTTTCAATATTTTCAGAGTAAGAGCACTCGCACAACTTCTCAGTTTAACAGAAAGTCGTCTGGTCCCAGTGTTGGAAATTAAGCAGCTGTTTAGTTTTTTATTGTTTTAACAAAAAATTATGAAAATAAAAATGCTTTTGGTGCCTTAACAGCGGCTCCGTTCTGTTCAAGTGTCCCAGTAAACCATGACAGTGTGACAGTCAGCAGGCTCAATAGCAGGACCCTGAAACTGAAGCAGCTAAATGGAACTCAGCCATAATTAAAGAGTAACTAAACCCCAAAACCAAAGCAGAAAACCCCTGTACATGGGTATTTACTGGTGTTGTTGATTGATTCAGGCCCAAATCTGGACATTTCAGTGCAAAATATTTTAATAGTGACCGCCCTCTACTGGTTAAAACTGGCAACTGCAATTGAATTTTGTTATTGGTTGATCTGGAAGCCGGTGACATATGTGGTGGCAGCTTTTGTAAGCAACCAACCCTGCTTCTATAAAACCAACGTCTTCACTCTGCAGACTGTGGCCTGCTATGTAGCCCTTAGCCTGACACTAGTTTAGCTAATGTTGCGACACACATAGCACACAGAAACTTGAATACAAACCGCCATGAATGTGCTTCTAGTGACTGTAAAAGCTCCAGCAGACGCTCTGTGTTTCCAGCATGGACACAGAAAGTCTGACAGCAGCTGCTTATGGCTGCTTAGCTCTGTTAGCTCCGTTAGCTCTGACTACCTATGTAGCCATATAAGGTAGCAGAACTTAGGGGTTTAGTTTTCATGTGAAAGGTGAGTCAGTCTGTTGAGGTCAGTCCTCTGCTGCACTTACTGTACCTTGGTGGGATGAACGATACCAAAAGAGTTGGACTCAGGAAGCTGATGCAGCTGCAGTTCTGTCCTGATGGAGGATATTTAGAAAGTTGAGTCACATAACATAACCTTCCTTCTGATACGTAGAAAGAAAATAGTTCCTACATGAAACTGCTCCGCTGCTACAGGTAGAAGGAAACATATGGATTTTGATTTTGGGGTGAATTATCCCTTTAATCTGAACCATTGGTTGCATTTTATGAGCTTATCATATATATTTTTTTTAAGTAAAAGTAACTATTTCTGTCAAATAAATGTAATGGAGTACAATATTTTCATCTTAAATGTAGCTTACCTCATCTCTGTGCTGAGTCCTGCCAGCATCTGACTGAAGACCAGGAAGTTACTCTCTCCCTGCGTTGCCTGACACACCCTCCATTTGTCCAACATCATCGTCTGATGGAGCAGCCGGAGGGAGCGTGAGGAGGGAGCAGAAGGAGACATGAGTGTCTTCAAATGTATCCGTGTTTGACTCTGTTAAATGTGTGTGTGTGTGTGTGTGTGTGTTTCGTGCCTGTAGGTGCCCGGCAGCAGCCAGTCCAGCGTGGTTAAAGTCCAGAGAGAAGACCATGGCGAATCGAGATGAGGCGTCGCTGTGCTGAGAGCTAACACAGCCAAAAGACTTCAGGATGGTGAACATGGCCTGCACGCGCTCCACTGGCGACACAAAGCAAAAGAGGAAATTTTTTGATGCCACGGACAGTCGGTTGAAACTTCAAGCTTTTTATAATATTTTCATCGTGAATGTCTTTAGATTGCACTGGAGTTTGTTAAAATACAACGCGTGGAACTGGCAAAAAACAGCGGCAAAATTTAATACTGAATTCAAAATGGCCAACTTCCTGTTGGGTTCGGTGTTTGGCACCAAGAGACTTTTTTGCAAGCGTAGACATGATACACGTGGCCACTGATGTTCGTATATCTTGGTCAAACGAGCTGCAGGGGTGATTCAGTGAAATTGTATTTAAAACATTTATGTTTAGTTTCATGAGTTTTGTTTAACCGGCTGGATCTGATCAACCTGCGAGTACATACAGGTATAGAACATATAATTTCATGTCTCCAGTAGGGGGCGCTATGACTATGACTGAATATTGTTATGTAGATGTGTTCAGGGCGGGACTTTTATCAAACTTGTGAAATTTGGTGCAAATTGGACAAAGTACACTGAAGTTACAACAACTTCCTGTTTCTTGGCAATCGAAATTCGGCGCCACGCCACGGACACGCCCTTCGACAGAAACTCAAGATTTTGATAACTTTTAATTGAGATTGTCTTTAGAACACGCTGACCAAATATGAAGTCAATGTGATGAATGGTGTAAGAGGAGTTTGTTAAAACACGTGTGTAAATCGCCGCACTTTAGGGGGCGCTGTTGAGCCCGGCTGCTGAACTCACCGCTGATCTTCTCGCTGGTCGTACCCGCCTGCTTGAGGAGTGCGTGAGTAAAGGCCTGGCACGCCGTGGTCTTGCCGGTCCCGCTGCGTCCCACCGCACACACGCTGTGGTCTCTCCTGGTCCCCACCATGGACACGTACACCCGTTTGACCAGAGCGGTCAGAGCGGGAGGAGCGTCCCACACCGACTCCCCTCGCCGAGACCTCGGAGTCTGACACAGGAGAGGAAGAAGAGGATGAATGATTCACCAATTAAGTGATTCCTATTATTGATAGTTTGCTGTTACACGGTCATGTTTTTGTTGATCGGGTGCGATTGATCCGCCGCGTGTTGCCGTCACCTTGCTGTGCGCCTGTAACGGAGGCCAGAAGTTCACCAGGTTGGGTCCCGCGTGCGTTAGCGGCATGTTGGCTTTAGCTCGACTGGTCAGAGTGTGCAGGACTCCACATTCGTTCACACTCTGGAGGTCGCTCAGATCCTCGCACAGGTCCAGCTCTGAGGGGTTACACTGAGGAAGAGGAGGAAGAGGAAGAGGAGGAAGAGACGCTGTCAGTCCACTGAAGTGTTAACGACACAGAAAGGTTCACAAGAGGCGAAGCTACCTTCTCAATCTCAAACTCTGTAACATCGTGCAGCGACCCGTCGCTCTGCAGGCGGACCCTCACTCGGCCTTCTGGGAGTTCAGGTGTTCCTTCGTCTGGCTTCAGCTGAGTGGCTGAAACGAGTAACCAATCAGAGAGGAGGTTATTGATCATTGATTGAACACCTACAGGTAGAAATAATGACCAGAATCCAAACTCTCCTCGCGTCCGCAGATGAACCTCCTTATGGAAATAGTTGTTTGGTCAAAATACTTCAATACCCATGAGCCTCAGCCACCAGAGTAACAGAAAAGTAATATAACTAGTAGAGTAACTAATTACTATTTCTACTTGTCGATCCGAAGTTGACTCACCTGTGATCAGTTATTTACAGTCAATGAGTGCGTGAGAGGAATAAGATTAATAACATTGTTCTGTGTGTGTGTGTGTGTGTGTGTGTGTGTGTGTGTGTGTGTGTGTGTGTGTGTGTGTGTGTGATGACTCACCGCGGGTGAAACCATCCTTGTGAACGTACCACACAGTTCCAGCTTCGTACCACACATCCCTCACCTGAGGGAGCACAGACGGGTACAGGTTAGCTCTGTTAGCTCTGTTAGCTCGCTGTTCCTGCTACACTGCTGTGGTCAATCTGATGTCACTCTCAGTTGCCAGGCAACCAGGAATCCAGGAAGTCACTGCTCCCAGCCCAGAAATAATAATCGAAATAATAGTTTTTGTGCGAATGAAACAAATGAGATAGACTTTGTTAATAACGAGCTTCGAGCGAGGCTAGCTGTTTCCACCTGTTTCCAGTCTTTGTGCTAAGCTAGGCTAACTGGCTGTAGTTTTAAAGTGTACAAATACTTTTCCTTTCCTTACATTTTCAAAACAGGCTTTTTACTTCAGTTTTAACACATTTGAGGTGAATTATTGATTAGTATTGTGCATCACTGCAGCAAGTTTCAGTTAGCAGTTAGCTTCAGTTAGCTTCATTCAATTCACCACAAAATCAATTAGATTTTTGTATTTCCTGTAAGTTTCAGCAATCATAGCGAACTACTACTGATTTTATTCTTGCTTGAACAATAATAACAGAATATACTGTTCAATAAAAACTTCAGGAACATTTTAAATGATGCTTTAAAGCTGCTAAATTAAATTAATCAGCTTTTTAAAAATGTACTTTTTAATGAAACAGTGTAGACGTGAGTAATTAATGCAGGGTCAAAGGTCAGACTCTGGATGATAACTGCCTGTAGGACGAACCTCTCTCCTGTCTGTCTCTGTTACAGTCGTGTCTGCCTGTCTCCCCTCCGGCTCCTGCCTCTCCTCCTTCTTCTCCACCTGCTTCACCTCCTCTATCCTCCCCTTCGGTTGCTCGGCCGGCGGCGTCCTCTTGCTCCTCTCTGACCTCATGTCCTGATGCTTCTTTGGCGGCTCCGGTGTGACTTCCTGTCCGGTGTCCTGTTTGCTGGCGGGGTCGGGACTGACGATGTGTTTGCTGTTGCTGATCAGCTGTTCGGCCCGCAGGGACATCTCGGCCTCGAGGATCGGAGGAGTCTGATCCGGGAGGAGGAACTGCTGCACCAGGTTGTCGCTCAGTTTGCTTGGCTGATGGGAAACAAACAGGAATTCTTGTGTGAACAGGTTGTAACTTAACAAATGAGACGTTCCCCGACTGAGTTCTGTGTCTCTATGTAGGGATGAGGGTCAAAGGATGTGACCTTTATGCTCCCGAGTGCTTCCCTACAGTGCCAACAGTGGGCTGTATAATGACAGTTACATATAAAACTCGCTACCACTGACTTGTCTCTCGTCTTTGACCTCCGGCTCTTTCTGTTTGGTCTCCTTCTCCGTCTCTCTGACCAGCTGTTTGAGGAAGCCGCCTGGCAGAGCGGACAGAGGCGGCGGAGGTTCGGCTGTTGCCACCGGCGTTTTCTCCTCCTTTATCTGTTGGATCGACGGATGAAAGGGAGGTAGAATTAGACACAAACAGCAAGTCATTGAGGGATATTTACATACAACAAAAGACGGTACATGCACACATTCACGTCACATTAAAGGTTCAAATTACAATAAACATATTTTATCTCTTCCCTCCTGAAGGGTTTTTATCTTTTATCGTAAGAAATGTTGAATAATGGGAGTATATCGGTGGATTATCAGAATAACAGGGACACTGTTTGTGACGACAGATGTTTATAAAAGCTGTGAGCAACACAAAAGAAGATAAATTTGCCTCCACTGTATCAGAAAGGGTTCAACGTTAACGGGAGTGTTCTGTTCCACTGTGAATGAAGTTACGATGATCTGTGAGCTAAAATGATCACTTTTCTCTATGGAGTCTGGTGGAGAGTGATAGTGTTGCTAGGTTTATACTAAGCTAATAAAGCCTAATCGTGTCCTAACATAAAATGAGATAATCCAGGCAAAAGAAAGAGAAGACAAATATCTAAAAACCTGCACATTAAACTATGTGTACGACTCGATACCACCAGAGGAAAGAGAGAAAATATGGTATTTAGTCATTTGCGTGAGCGGACCCTTTAAAAATTCTTTCTGCACATTCACTACATTTGCTCTGCGAGGCCGGGCGTGGTCTGGCCCCCCGATGGCTGACTGTCGGTCACCTTTAGATAACATCAGTGACTGCTATCTTCTGGAGTAGCGTGAGTCAAACGCTGTCGTCTTCAACTGTAATCATTTCACAGTTAATTCTCAGAGCTTTCCAGCGCGGCTTTTACGAGGAAACATGAGTCAGCGGCCGTGACGAGGGAACGCAGAGAGGTGGCCCGAGGCCTGACATTTAACTAATAGGTATCACCTGCCGACACAATAGGGAATATCATAAAGGTCAGTATAGGACAGCTGTTTCACATTCGACGACGAGCTACAGTCGGAGGAACTTTGGGAGGAACTTGCTGAGTAACTGACCGGGCTGCAAAACTAAACTCATCTAATGGATCTGTTCGGATATCTTTTATTCCTCCTCACACAGCTCATAAAAGTCTGGTCCTTTAATGCCAGATTTAGACCAGGATCCACACGAGTGCGCTTGAAAATGCTTTTATCCCTCTGTGTATTGGATGACTAACCAGAGAAAATGTGGCAGCAACGGTAGCAGTTTAAAAAAAAACACCTGCACTGAAGTGTAACTGAAGCCAGGGCGTGAACTTCAGTGCTTCAGATTTTCATTAAAATAGATTTGAGCAGAAGGATTCAAAGTCCCAGCGTGGTTTAAAACAAAGTATTCAGACCATTTTACTTAAAGTGTGAAAGAAAAATGAACATTCAGTCATAGGCAATTAAAGGACTGCTGACGCTAATTTAATATAATATATATTACAGTTTACTGATACTCTACAGTGTATTACATCGTCTTTAACTTAAAGGGAAGAAGATTGGCTGTTTCTATATTCTTATTATTGTTGCGGTGGAAACACAAGCGCTTTTGTTTCATTTCTATTTTACAGTATTTGGCAAAAAGCAAAAAAGTCCTAAAAATGACATTTATATATAATTTCTTCTTTTCTCTCCCATTAATAATCTCACAACCCCTCACTGGATTAAACTAAAGACTAAAACTGGCTCCTGCTCGAGTAACTACAGCTGTAAATATAATAATAAACCTGTAACAGGACATTTTACTGCAGAATTAATTAGTGGATTAACTAGTACTACTACTAAAAGTAGCTTAAAACTGGTTCTACCTCAAGCAGCTAAAAATGGTAAAACTTAAAAATCAGTATTAACAATCTAATTACGTTATATATATAATAATAAACCATTAATGGGACATTTCACTGCAAGTTACTACTTTTACTTTCATACTTTAAATATATGAATTAGTGGATTTAACTACCTAAAACTAGCTAGAAACGTGTAAAAGTTGGTATTAACAATCTAATTATGTCATATATAAAAGAATAAATTAGTAACATTTTACTGCAAAACAAACACTTTTACTTGAAGTATATTTTACTGTTAATTAATTAATCATCTCACAACCCGTCAGTGGATTAAATTAGTTAAACCTGGAGCAGCTACAGTAAAATGCTAAAGTAAAGAACAAACACATTTGCATTGAGTGTATTTTCGAGTACTCAGTAAAAACACAATATATCAGCCTTTAAGTACAGAATAAGTAGAATTTAAGTGCTTTACTCATAGAAAATGTATTGATTGCACAAAAGTATTGAACATCGACACAAATATCCGCCGCCGTCAGCCTCGAACATCGGTGACGCTGTGCGGCTTTAAAAAGCTCAAACATGCAGGATGACTAACACAGCGATCACAGCAGCGACAGGCTTCACAGTGACATGTTCTGATGATTCAGGGTTAGAACAGAGGGTCCACTCACCATGTAATCAATGCCTCTACACAACACAACACACACACACACACACACACACACACACACATGCAGTCAAGATTATACATTAGTTGTTCAATTAACGCAGCATGCAGAAAACTCTGCACCTCCCTTCTGCTCCCACAGTTTTAAGCGTGAAGACAGAGCCATGGTTTCACACGAGGGTGGGTGGGTGGGTGGTTGGGAGGGTTCAAGGGTGGTGCTGTGAGGGTGGCAGGGTCAGCCAGATGTGATGTCAGAGTGGTGGCGTGTGCGGGCAGAGAAAGACAACCTGACAACGGAGAGAGACGGGTGACAGAAAGTGACAGAAAGTGACGCCTCGGTGTTTTGCGACTTGCAGATTGTGACAGTAAAGAGAACATTTAATTCCCTGCAGAATGAAGTCAGATCGGATCAGTTTTTTTTCGTTTCCGAGATGTTTCACAGTCAGTTTGTGTCCATTGAGGCATCGTTATAATCTTTAAGAATCCGTCTCCTCATCCTTCTGTTGAGAGGTCTGTTGTCACTTAATCTTCAGAAAACTTCACTTCACACCTTCTTTGTTCTTCATTGTGGTGCCATTAATCATACTGAGAGCTTCCTGTTACAGTCTGTGTAAATCCTGACATCATTTAAAGGTCTTTAAAAAGTATTAAACACAAACACAGGGATTAAATCTGCACTCATACCCCTTTAACAATGGATTAAATGGTCTGTATTCGAATTAAAGATCCTCATTAACTTCTGCATAAACAAGGTTGGCTCGTTGATTTCTCTACATTTGGCACCAGGGTTGGAAGTTAAATTTACAATTACAAGTCAGTGACTTAATCCAAGCATCATAATATTAAAGCAACTTGATTACGTTACTTTTGGATTACCTCAACAGCAAATATGTGAATAAACAAACAAGAAAAGAAATGTCAATAAAAAGTACTGACGTAAATTTATTCTATAAAACAACAGAACAACCTTAGAAAAGCAAATGGAAACGGAAACAATGAATTTTTATCTCCTCAAGCAAGTTTTGTATTAGAAAAGTAATCTAACTAACTTTGTCTTAATAAGATATTACAGCTAATGTTGAGGTAGATTTTACCAGTAACCCGTATGGTTTGCATAATATCCCAGCAGAGGAACAAGATTATTTTCATTATTTTAAGATTAAGAGCACTTGCACAACTTTGTTAACACAGTTTAAGAGAAAGTCATCTGTCCCGGCGCTGGAAATGAAGCAGCTGTTTTTCATTGTTTTAATAAAAATAAGAAGCTTCTGGTGGATTCATTCAACACACAGTCATTTATAGTAGTTTTAGTTTAATTAGTGTGTGCACACGCTGGTCCTTTATATTAATAATTAATTAATAAGAGGAAAAAAGAACAAAACAAAGAAAATAAAAATAAACAGGAAGTTAAAGTTTATTCAGGTCCAGTGTTGTTTCTTGTGGAAACAAGCTGAGCTAACGTTAGCAGCAGCTGTCAGTTTACTAAAAGACAGAAATGTGGTCATTTTAGGGAAAAAGGTTGGGAACCATCGCTGTAGTCCAACCCGGGTCCACTCAGTCTGAAACCTCAACCTGTAAACAACTCGACCGTCAGTTTCAACAGGACGAGGCAGCGAGCCAATCAGGACACTGCGAAAACTCCTCCAAATGATTTCCTATGTTCCTCCGTGGGTTCTATTTTAACTTTAAATTCACTCCACAAGATTAAAGTGCCAATTTTTATGTCTTGTGTGACCTAAAAAGTTCCTAAATGACCAACTGTGCTGATTTTAAACTGTTTCTCTCACACATAAGTGGATACATTTGCTCCTAATAAGCCCTCAGAGACAGATTCTCTATAAAAACAACGTTATATTGTGTCTGAAGCCAAAGTCAAATCACAGCCCGGCTGTTTCTGGCACACGGGCCCTCGTCAGGCCTCGTCGCGCCGCCAAACTCCTCTATAAATAAAACCTGTTGAATGTCATTATCTCTAATTGTCTGCTGGACGGTAACACACAGAAAACACACACTGCGTACCTTCGGACACGGCAATAAAAAATCAAAAGGTCCAGATGGTTAAAGGCGAATCCGGAGAGTCCCACAGACACCAGCACAGACACACACCGACACACAGAGACCAGGGTCAGAAATAGAGTGACACACAGCGATAAGCAACACGGTGGGCCTGACAGACGACTCCTCTATAAATATCTGCTGGCTGAGGGGGGGGACAGGGGAGACGACCCTGTTTGGAGAGCTGCTTGATACCGAACCACAGAGGAAGAGGAGGAGGAGAAGGAGGAGGAGGGAGGAGGAAGGAGGTTAGGGGTTTAAAAACAAGCAGAATGAGATGTTTTTGAGATTATGTGAGTATTCTGAAGGTGTGTGAGTGTGAGGGGGAGGGCCGGGTGTTAATGGACGCCGGCTGTTCCGACAGGACTGCACCGTGTCAGCTGTCCGGCTGTGATTGACAGCTACAGCTGAGGGCGCGAGGTGAGGAAGAGGAGGAGCCTCCTGGTTCTCTTGTGAGGAAGGGAGGCTGTTGGAAATGTGTTTATAATGTGCAGCGCTTTAAAGATGAAGTAATGCTGCCTGGATGAGGTTTTATTAGCCGCCACGCTGCGAGCTGCGAGCTGCGGCGTTGGGTTCAGAAATATTTCAACGACTGGATGAAGTTTGGTTCAGTTTGAGCAACTTAACATGAAATTATGTTCAACAAATGTTAGAATTATTAGTTTAGGGAATTAGCTTAAAATAATAAAGGTATTTTTAATCAGCATTTACTTAAAAACTAGAAACCAGATAAGTTAATTTAACAGAAAAATGTAAGTTAAACAAACTTAATTTTGTAAGAATAAGTCATTTTAAGTGACACCGACTTAATTTTTATTTGTGCTGTGAAAACAAAATATCCAGTTAAAAGCATTTAATCAGGAATATTTCTGTAACTTGAAAAACTGTCACTTAAAATTACTAATAAAAGTTTGTTACTTAAATCTTATAACGGTGTACTCTAGTTCTTCCAATTATTTATGTCGACACAACTCAAAAAACACATCGAACTAATGTTTGCATCTTCAAAGGTTTATTTAAATCAATTAATTAGAATGTTAATCTTGCATCTATTTAATGAAGTGGTGTTAATCAGTCTGTGACAGATGAACCTGAACCACTGGATGAAAACCACGACGTTGTCCTTCCAGTCTTAGTGAGATGTCAGTAAAAGACCAACCAGAGCTTTAATGTTTTTATTCTGCAATCTGTAGTTAAATTAACTTATGTGTGTGTGTGTGTGTGTGTGAGATTAACAACCTTTATATAATCAAATAGTGTAAAGGGCGTGTCCAATGATACAGCGGATGCTTTGACGCTCCGTTACTTTCTGTCATTCACCTTAACTTTGTTCTGTTGTTCAGAGTTCGGGGATCCGAATAACCTCCAGTTGAGGTCTGTAAAACTCTTCTTCTTCGATGCTTCTAAATGTTGATCCTTCGTATGTAAACCAGGAGGTTGTGGATGTTTCAGGACCTTTACAGAGAACTGTGGGAACTCTCAGAGGGATCATCGAGACGTTTGATGAAATGGCTGCGTATGCATGTATACAGATTTCTAGATATACATTCTTTACAGAGAAGTTAAACTGACTGGTATCAGGTAACATTACTGTTTATTACTGTTGTTGACTTTATTACTTTAAATCTCCTCATTTATATACAGATCAGTGTTATTTATGATGTACTTTTATTAGCTGTTAACTGCACAATAGAACTCCACATATAGGTTTGTGTGATGCTACGACACTTTGAGATGAACTGATCCAGTAAATGAATGTGTAGATCTCCATATTACATTATGTGAGAATAAAAAATGATTCAATTTAGTTTTTAATAGTTTTTCAATCATGTCAAACAAACAGACTCATGTTGGTACATCACACCACTTAATGAAAGACAGCGTAGGACACACCGGTGTCTCCTCGAGGTGCGTTCAAGGAACTTAGAAGATCCTTCATGATGGCGGATGGGGGACGATTTCCGGGTCACAGGAGGAGAGAGGACTCGAGGAAGCATCAATTAGCGCAATGAAAAGCACCCAGAGTTTTAATGCATCTGGACCCTCGTGACCCTGTTCCTTCACAACCTGTGTGTGTGTGTGTGTCCTGATCTCAGCTTCTCCAACCTTTAAATACGATGTCATGATGGAGTCTAATCACCACAGACACTTCTCATCCTCACTGTGCACCCGTCAGTTAAATATATTTACTCATTTGAAGTCTCTCCTGATTGAAGTGACTGTAAATACTCAAGTACGAGGAGGGACAGTAAAGTACTCGAGTAAATGTGTTTATTTCCACCGCCGGTTGAACCCAAACGTCAGCGTTCAGAGACAGACTCTTCGTCCTCCGTCAGTGTGAGCGTCACTCTGCAGTAAAACCCAGTTAGAGAGCGTCTGAAGGTTTCTGTCTGCAGATTTTAGCTCAGTGAGTGCGGAGAAACCCACCGGCACAAAATGTTAAAGAAGAACTTCATATTAACTCGTTCTGGAGGAAGAAGATCCGGGCTCACTCTCTTTAAGAAATCATTTTCAGGGACCTTATAATAATGCTGCTAACGGCCCACTGCGGATATTTTATACGTTTTCTTAAAGCCCTTAAAATCAAGAAGGCCCTGCGACCCCCTGTGAAGCTCTGTCGACCCCTCCTGGGGGTCCCGACCCTCAGGTTGGAAACCACTGATGTAGGCGATCTGAGTGAGGGGCTAAAATACAATTAAAAGTTTCCAGGACAACATGGATTATTTCGAGGATTTTTGCCCATTTTAATCAAATTCCAGACGTTTCCATGACTGAAAACTAGTCTGGATCCTTTCCACTGTTCTCATTCCCACAACTACGTTAAGTTTTCTGCATTATAACTCACATATTAATCTGAATATCTTTGGGTTTTTGGACAAAATTACATTTGAAATGTCAGAAATTCACTTCAGCCTCTCCAACGGGAATATCTTGTGTTTTTTTTTTAATCTTCATTGATCTAAATTTCCATGTTCTTCCAAGTGGGAACCCTGCAGATAGACGGCTCATTCCCAGCCTGAAGGTCTCTCTCTCTTGCTCTCTCTCTCTCATAAACTTATTGTTTGCCTTTAATTGTCCCACTCTTTAATAAATGAACACATTCTCTCTGCGTGCTGCTGCGAAGGCGAGCAGCAGCTTCATCGTACAATCGACCTGAAACCTTTGCGAGCTGAACACAAAGCAAACGTGACAGAAGGCAACACGGAAAAAGGATTTTTATTCATGAACTGTTTTTACAAGCAGTCCAACACGCAACTTCCTACCTGTCTCGAGAACAAAACAAAAAAAAATAAAATCATTGAAATAAAATAAATTTAATAATAATCATTGAATAATATTGTCAATTATATATCAGTATTATCATAACCTTAATGGCAATAATAACCCAAAGCCAGTAGTATCTGTGTTTGTCTGTGGCGTATGAAAAACAAAACGAGGGTTTCTGATGGCGATAACCAGAGGGGTTCGTCTACAGCGAGCTCTCGGCTGAGGGCTCATCCACGCGGAGGAGAGACGGAGCGAGAGAGCTCCCCTCACGCGCAATAAATATGAAAGAGCAAAGAGTCCTGTATTCAAACAAAAATAATCATCTGGAACTCGCAGGTACAATATCTAAAGTCTTTTATGTGCAAGATTTGAGCTGAAGTCTTCACCACAAACAATTATACTCACATCAAAACCCCCGACCTCCCCCGCACAATTTCATTTTGTTTTCTACATTAAATCTTTTAAATAAACCTAGAGCATTTTGTCATTTCATATACACATATATTTATATATACTTTGAATTTTTTTTCCTATATGCCATCCTTTTTTTAACTCGTCTCGTGCTGAGCGTGTGTGTGAATCTGTGTGCGACAGGAAAAAGAAGAGAGAGTCCACTGCGTGAAACATACAAAGCGGTACTGAAGCGCACGTATGCTCACACGCTCACAGTTTTGGACCCTTTTCGAAGACGCCGCCGCAGCTTCAGAGTTTGTGTGGCGGCGGCGATGGCGGTGTTGTTTTTTCTTTCTTTTTTTTTTTAAACGTTGGCTGCTGCCGAGTCCGCGGCGAGAAGGGTCAAAAGTTCAGAAAAGGAGGCTTCCCCATTGGTTCCACTCAATCAGCAACAGTTATTTGGCACATTGAACAACTATTAAGTAACACATTGGGCTAAAAAGGTGCAACAACATAAATTTCAATGAAAACAATAAAAACCATTTTGGTTTACAAAAATAAAAGACACCTTGAGAGGTGACAAAATTTCTCTATAAGACGATAATATCTCCCCCTGACTCTGGTAAAGGCTACAAAGAAAAAAAAAAAAAGGAATCACAATGCACCCCTAAATCAACCCTTTCCTACTGCAGGTCACACATCACAGCTCTGGAAATGCATGGACATCACAGACGAGGACACTGTACTGCATGAAAAATAAAAAAACCCTGAAATTAATGAATGTATCCGACGGCAGATGGGTTCCTCCCGCTCCTCCGCCGCGTGCTTTTAACACCAAGATTGTGCGCGTTTCTGCCCTTCGCTTTGTAACGAACTCCCGACGAGGTTCGTGAGAAAAAAGCCCCGATTAACAAAATAAATTCACCTCATCTGAACTGTGTCACATTTAGGAAAAATAACAAAAGAAAAAAAGACAAAGTCATGAACGTTGAGGAAAACTCCACCCTGAAACACTTTAGTGGGAGATAAACGCTGATGAGTGTTAAAGTGGTGCTTTACGTTGTTGTTCTGCTCGTCTGATTTCTGTTGATGGGAATATTTTGGGACATTGGGTCGAATAAAACAAGCTACACGAATGCATCATTGACACGTTTTCACTATTTTATCACTAATCTATAAAATACTTTATTCAGATTAATCAACTGTGTTCAATGTAACGTTGCATTTCCAATACGAGTGAGCTTGTTTCTTCCTGGAGAAACGTCTTCCAGCTGGGCGTACACTGTGCGATTTAAGAGACATATTTCAGCTTCGTTGGGCGCCGACTCCTCCCGAACTACCGTCAGACGGTCGGATGAGTTTCTAACGCCTAAATTCCACTGAGGTTGACCGAGGCGGTTTGGCTCCTGACATTGTGTATTTTCTCCTCCACATAAGCTCCAACCGTCCGGCCTGGTGCCGCAGGTTGTAACGCAATAACCCGGAGTCTTGCATGGGGTGTTTTATTTTGAAAACTAACTGGATTCTCTACGCTGTTTCTGCGTCCGACTTCCTGCCAGCCTGATCTGCTCGTCTCCATCGTCTAGAACGGGCGCCATCAGCTCCGGCCCGGTGGATTTCTGCGTGCTTTGACTCGCTCTGGCACAGTTGAAGCAAAACTACGAGTCGATTCCCCAAAGTCTGAAACTTTATTCTCTGTGGGCAAACAGCGTCTGAAAGCGCTGTGGCAACAACGTGTCACGTAGATGGGAAATACGGAGGCTGGTCGAGATGTGGCTGACGTTTCCTTCGATCACCACAGATATGAACGAGTTTTTACAATTGGCACAAATTATCTAGCCAGCACGATATTTCTGCCTTAAACATTACTGCCAGCAAACTGCTTCGAAGCTTTCAAACAAACAGCCACGAGCCAGAACGGTCCGCAGGACGAAGTGACGTTTTATTTTGTGACTAAATATCATCTCAGTGTTTCTGTTGCAGTAAATTGATGCAATTTTCTGAACTTAGAGGATTTTTTCTCACTGTTCCACATCGCTGATCATTAGAAATCTCACTGTGCAAATATTCTGTGAAAGCACCGATATTCGTTCCTACGATATCGTCACATTATCGATATCGAGGTGTTTGGTCCAAAAACGTAATAATTTACTTCCTAAAAATTGTACAGCGTGCGCCCAGCTTTACCGTTTCCCCTGTAGGATTCCCAAAGGCATTCTGGGAAACGCAGGCTAAGTAAAGCAGTCCGTGTAGACGAGGCAGGCCGTGGGAATGAGTGCAAACATTTTCAACCCTTCGTCACAAAAACAACCGATCTGAAACGGCTCGAACGCAACGGAGACGAGTCTGTTCGGTGTGTTTGAGGGTGGACGTTTCCTTTAATTAGCTTCAGCTCTCCGTTCTCGCGCCGTAACCCTAACAGGATGATTGTGTAGTCATCGAGCGGGGAGGTGACATCTCCGAGAGCGCTGGCGCCGACGCGGCGCTTTCTTTCTAACAGACGGAGCGCGACGTTTGGCCCTTAGAGAGGTTTCTCGCCTCCACGTGTTCAAACTGACACAGTCCGACTGAGGTAACGCAGCAAGTGATTGAAACCCCCCCCAAAACCCACCCGGGCTCCCCCCTCCCAGCAGGAAAACAAACCTCCTCTTCCTCTCCCCCCCTCCCCCAGAAAGCCAGGACAGATTCACGAACAGAGAAGTCCCCAATAATGCAAACACGTTGGACTAAAACACTGGAGATGCACAGAGAAAGGGTTTCTTATATACACTCAGTCCTCCCTCCCTCCCTCCATCTGGTTTTCCCGCGAGTGTAGCCTTCATAACACAATAGTTACACCGTTGTCCTTGGTTACCGATCCCCCAGGTATACCAGTCTCCACGGTTCCCGTAGCAACCGGCTGCTGTTTGTCAGCCAATGGAACCTCAGTCTCTATGGTAACCGGCCGTTACAGAAGCCTATCTGAAAAGAGTTCGCGGCTCCCGCACTTCCTGTATTGGAATGATGGACCGCCGCCTCCGCCCGCCTCAGGCCCCCTCAGCCCGCCACCAGGCAGAGCGCTCCCAGGCGCTCAGGTGACTCAAGTAAATGTTGATGTTGGCACTTTGCGCACTTCAGTAACGGAGGGAGGAATGGTGAGAGGGAGCGAGCGGCCTCCTCCTCAAGCCGTCAGAGGAATGTCTCAACAGCGTTCAGCTCTGGGAGAGAGTCCGTCAGGAGCTGCTGCGGCGGGTTCACAGAGATCCAACACACAAAAAGCCTCAGGGCGAGGTGGCGGTGGAGGAGGAGGAGAGAGGAGGAGGGAGGAAGGGTGTGCAGGAGGAGAGAGAAAAAGAGAAAGACAGGAACAAGAGAGGAGCGGGTCCTCGTCACATTCATGCAGAGGTTCTTCACATGCTGAGTCCTCCCGAATGTTTCTCCCCTCGCCTCGGCGTCCGTTCTTCCTCTCAGTGAACTGGCAAGGTCCCACGGCGGACAAAAAGAAAAAAACTATATCGCGCTTATGATTGGTCATCGTGTGTGTGTGTGTGTGTGTGTGTGTGTGTGTGTGTGTGTGTGTGTGTGTGTGTGTGGTGAGAGGCTGGTGGGCGTGGTCCGTACACACACTGCGAGGCGTGGTGGGAGGGTGGGCGGCGGGAAGGTGTCCTGCGGCTGATGAGGAGGTGGGATGCAGTGTGTGTGTGTATCGAGGTGTGTGTGCATGTGTGTGTGTGTGTGTGTGTGTGTGTGTGTGTGTGTATTCACAGGCCATTGCTATTGCGGTGTGTGAGGGGAGGTTTGGAGAGCTCCACCACTCCGGCCCGGCCTTTGCCGATGACTTTAGGGGCGCGGCGCAGAAGCTTCTGGGCTTCTGTGAACGCTTCGGTCAGCTCTTTCTTCCACTGCACGTACTCCGGATCGCTCTGCAACAACGAAACAAAGGGATCAGCTCTTTGTCTTTATCCCGCTGACAGCAGAAATAAACAACAACAACAACAACAACGTGTCCTACCTCACACTGCAGCACAAACTGCTTCCCTCCCTTGATGCGCAGCAGGATACACTTCTTGTCTTTAACCTGCGTCTCTTCCACCGTGACGATCTGCTCCATGGTCAGCAGGTTTTGCTGTGGGAAGAAGTGACCGATGGAAAGTGAGCAGAGGCAGATACTGATGAACACAGGCCGAGCTGCAGAGGTCAGACTTTAGACTCCCAGAAGTTATGAGTTGGTAGAACAATAAAAGCATCAGGATATACTGAATATTTATATAATATCCGATTTATTAACCCTTTGAACCACAGTAACTGCAGCTCTCTGACTGGAGTCAGTCCACAGTGGAGGCACACAGACTTCATGAGTCTTGGTTGCTGCACAGATAACTTCACATCCTTCCTCCTGTGATTAAAACTCATGGATCCATTAATCATGCCACCAGTCCTGTTTTGTTCTGGGTGCCCACATTGTGATCAGGTAGGTTAGAGCAAACCTTCTTTCTGGGGACAAATAAATGCCATTCTGAAGAGAAATACGTTTAATAAATCCCAACTGTATTTTATAAATGTGTTATTGTGAACAGGACAGAGGAATCAGGAGGTTTATAAAGAGGACCTGCACCCGTTTTGACCTTGTATGTAAAGTTTCAATCTGTTCTTAATAGTAACTCTGTTTGTTGTAGTGATTTTTAAATTGTATCTCTAGATTACTTTTATTGTTATTTTCATCGTTGTTGCTGCTTTTGGGAAACTTTACGAGGCAGCTGGAGAACCATGAGAATCCATCTTGCTAGCAGGGTTCCCGCTCTTTAAGACAACCGAGTTATTCCTTGATGAGGACGGCGTTTCTGAGACTCTCGGCTGTTCTCACCACAGGCTGTTTGGCGACAGTATTCTCTAACTGTAACAGTGATTTGGCCGCAGCAGAAGATAAAATACAGCAAACATTAATTATTTCCAGGATATTTAATCATTTGAATCAATTTTGTGCGTTTGTACAGCGGCACCGGACCAATCAGCGTCCTATGAGGAAGTACTGGCAGCTACAACAACAACAATGGCGGCTGCTAAAGAGGCTAGCTGTATAGTATTTCATTGAAAGAAGAGCAAAGAACGGCACTGAAAGTGGTGGTGGTGGTGGAAGAGATGTCTTTGCTCTTCTCCCCTCTTCAGTAACAGTATGACTACGTTATCCGGGTTCTTTGATCTGATTGGTTGAAGATCAGTTGAAGTAAAAAGACTTCCCCTGAGGCTCCTGCGCTTCCTGTTGCTACCAGGAGCAGTTTGAGGAGGGTGTAAAGACTGAAGCAACACTACTGAGTGTGAAGCAGGGAGGAGGTCTACAGCGCTAAACGCCGTCTGGACAAAGACAGCGGGGGGGAGACACAGCGGGGACCTGGTGTGAACACTCACCCCGTCTTTCTGCTTTTTAAAATGTCTTAGCCACTTCTCCTTCAGTGTGGAGGGAGGACAGAGACAGACAGACAGACAGACAACGCTCATACACCGACTGAACAGACATGAACATGAGATTAAACGTGTGTGCCGGGAGGCGAACTCACCCGCGACTCGCCCTCCCCCCTCCACTCCACACGGTTGGGGAAGAGGTAGAAGTATCGACGCTGCCACTGGGTGAGGAACGGGTTCCCCAGCTTCAGCATGTAGCCGTGCATTATGCAGTCCTTCCCCAGGGCGTAGTCTACACACACGCACACGCACACGCACACACACACACACACACACACACACACACACACACGGGTTAGAATATCTGCGCTCGTACGTGGAAAACGATTTCGGGATCAGGTTTTCGGAGTGGTCGTCATTACCCTCCTCGTGGCCCAGCTGCTTGTTCTTCGCCCTCTTGCGCGCCTCGTTCTTGTCCGTGTCCGAGTTGACCGCCTCGTACACCGTCTCCGCCACCTCCTGCTGCCAGCGCTCCGATATGACCAGAGGGAAGTTCTTGTACAGCTCCTGGTCGCTGTCCAGCAACTACAGGACAGACAGACAGACAGACAGACAGACAGACAGACAGAAGTGCAGGATATTAATAATAAACAGCCTCAACAGCAAATGTGTTTGTTTGTTTGTTTGTTTTGTGTCTTCCAGGAGACAGTAATGCACTAAAATGGGTTTCTGAAAACATTTGAGGACAGAAACAGGCTCATCAGCACAGTTTAATCTGAGTTAGCTGACAGAGATGGTTTTTGGTGAGTTTTATTTTATTTCTGTCCCACTGTTTTGGTCTGAGTCCAGTGGAAAGTAAGTTTCCTATACGGAGCCTTTAACCATCGTTTGCATGTACAACCCACTTTGTAATGACAGGATGACTGAAAATTGGCTAATTTTCCCTTTTAAACAACCAACTTGTGATTTGACTTTACAGTATTGGTTCCTGTTGCTGCGTCTTCCCGCTCTCACAGCACTGTACAGCGCTTATTCAGATGATTACTCCGGCGCTAATGCTGAGCACCGTCTGGGGAAATGTAAACAAGCGCTTTTGTCTCTTTATTTCTCGGCGCTGGAGCGTCAGAGGATGAATAACTGCACTAATGTTAATGAGGGAGGAATCTGATGTTCCAGGAGAACCAGGGAAGGAAAGCCTGCAAACACAGATACACTTACAGGCAAAGTAATGTAAAGCTAGTGAGCCACAACCTCCCTGCACTCTACAACACTTCACAGCTGATGGGTTCGGACACGAGGGACAGACAAAATGACTGAGAGCTTGCAAGGAAAACAACTCATTTTAAAAGTGTTTTTGTGGCTTAAAAGAATCGATATGCCAAGTAGGAAACATCCCTGTCAACGGAGAGTGAAGCTATTAGCTGTTAGCATGCAGGGATGTGGCCGGAGCTCTGGATTTAAACGAGGTGGAGGAAACCGGTGACGATATGTTGTAAGCTCACACTTCCAATTTTTCATATATGACAAAGAAAAAGCTGCAAATAGTCACATTTGAACAGCTGGAGGCGCTGAATGTTATTACTTCAAGGATCATTGAAATAACTGTCAATTAAAGGGCCAGTCTGTAGTTTTATTCCTCCCTTTCTAATGATGTGGGTTCACAATGAAGGGTCTCATTACAGATAGGTGGTCAGCGTTTATGTGCCGTTCTCACGTGGTGATTTTACTACAGTTTCCCCTCTAAAGCAGGTTTACGGCGATCTGAGTGGAAACTCAGTTTCCAGGACAACACAGAGGTACCGAGGATGCATACAGATGTACTGTCTGTGGTGTAAGGAGCTGGGTAACGGATGAGTGGATGTGTACTGGTCTGCTTTACCTTGATGCCCTTGGTGTCCTCCTCATCAAAAGAGCCTATGTCAAAAGCATCTGCAGCGTTCACCTCGCCCCTGGGAGGAATTAAAGGAGGAGAGTACTACAGAGCAGAGAGGAGAGGAAGAAGAGAAAGTGACAAAGGAGGAGAGAAAGGAGAGTGTGAGCAGAACAACACGGCGACAGTCCCACAGCAGCGCTTCCCTGAACTGATGGGGTAACCATAGCAACTGTAACTGTACTGGACTAATGACGAGTGCGGCTCCGTCGCTTCAAACAGAGACACGACTTGTCCAGACGAAGATTTTATTATGATCTATATTTTTATTCTTTAAAAACAAGCTGTTTGCTTTTCAAGGTTATTTTATTGTCTTTATACAACACAAGGTTGTAAAATGAAGTTTGAATATAGTTCCCTGTATGCCACAAATATCTTTTTCCTTTAATTATAATAATCGATATATGATCGGGCCCTGAAAAAAAACACAGTGGTCGAGCCCTAATAGAAACATGGTGGTTCAATATGACCGACTCCACCAGAAGAGGACCCGCTCCCTCTGTAGATAAAAACGTCTCATTCTAAGGTATCAAACACACAATGATTCTTATATTCAGATCATTATAAACTAATGAAAACATACCTATGAATATTATATTCCTGACAATAGATCCTCCTCAGTGTTGCACACTGGAGCTTTAAAGGGAGATTTATAGTTGTGTGCTGCTTGTTTACGGTACAGCTGCCATAAGCTAACTCCTCTATGTGTCAGGGTTGCTAACACTAACACTGTGATTGGTCAGCTTTGTGTTTGTGATGCTGCTACATGACGCAGGTTGAAGGAAAATCTTCTTACTCAAAACATTTGTACCACGAAGCTTCAGTGAAACACGATCACTGCTTCCCGTCACAGCTCGGGTTGTCGTCCTATATTCAAACAAGGCCGCGGAGTTTTTACCTGAACGTGACCGCGGTTAAATAAGAACGTATGTGTAACTTTATCACAGAAAATTAAGGAATGTAAACTGCGTCTGTCTAGTGTTGCAGTGATGATATCAACGGGTGAAATCTAAGACACTATAAATCTACAACTTCACTGTAGATCGCCTACAGCGGGATGAACATTAACCCCTTCAGCAGTAGAGAGCCGGTCCACCAGTGTTTACACTGCTTATTGTGAGTATCTTCAAATGATTCATGTCCCTAAAATCTGTACAACCTCAGCTAAAAAACCACAGTTTTAGGTATAACTATACAATAATCTGACCTCTTCTTCATCAAATTGCATTAAATAAAATCTAGAAACAGTGATTTAAAACATTGCTGGATGTAGAAACATGGACAAAATATTTCTGGACACTCTCACAAAGAACTTTGAATGCTTTAGATTTTATAGTTTTTATTTTAAAAACAGGATAATGTTGGTGGGAAGTCTGCTTCTAGAGGGTTAAAGGACCAGGGTGTAAGATTTCAGACAGAATTTTGTGAGTTTGGGGGAAACTTTATAAACTTTAAACTGTCTATTACAAATTCGTAATTATTTGTCCTTCTTGTAAATCCAGCAAATGTTAGAAGTTATTAATTTATTTGTATAAAACATATTATGTAACTTTGTGCTGCTGTGTGTCTAGACACAGTTCTTAATGTACATCATTCATTTCCACCAGTATTTATTCATCTTTCACAGTTATGTAGAATATTTTTTGGTGCTTTCATGGCACAGAATAGATGTATAATCTGTTATTATAGTGTTAATATCAGGTGTAAATAGTGTGTTTAAGTGCTGGTGGAAAACTGGGATACACCATTTGATTGATTCGACAATATTTATATTAAGTCTTTTTTGTGGCTTTAATTTTAACTACACAAACAAAATTACTCATAAAAACATTTGTAAATCTTATTTGTGCATCATGACGCACGTTATTTGTCACCAATACTGAGAGTAATTTCTCTTCACACACATCCATCACGGATATGCAGAGGTGGACCGTATTGACTTGCCATTATCCGATCATTCCCTCCAAAAACACAGCAAGCTCACGGGTTCAATAATAAAAAAAAAGCCTGCAGTGGAGGGAACAGAAGAGGCTCGCTCACCTTCTGGAGGTACACCTGCTGCCAGTCAATGCCTTTGAAAAACTGATGCTCCTTCACCTCTGGGGCTCTGCGTGTGTGGGACAGACAGACAGACAGACAGACAGACAGACAGACAGACAGACAGACAGACGGGGGAGGGAGGTCGTGTTAATTCACCTTCGTACACTAGGTGGCAGCGTTTGCCACATTACACCCCCTCTGACAAACACTCATAATCCTGCTATTTAGCCCAATACCCAGAGCAGACAGTGATCCATCACTCGGGTTTGGTCGTAAGCTGATGTGAAACGACAGCGCTGATGAAATTAGTTATGAGCTCAGCGTCTGTCGGATCACTCGATGTCCGTCTTCACCGGGCCGCAAACTACACCACCCAGTGTTTAATGAGCACAGCTAGCAAAACACGTCTGACTGATGAATTCATTTGCACGCCGGTGGACATAAACGTCGATGTGGGACGGTGTGTGTGTGTGTGTGTGTGTGTGTGTGTGTGTCGTACCCTCGGCCCTGACAGCCGAGCCTCTTGGATACGTCTCTCTGCAGCAGCCCCTCCAGCAGGTCTTTGAGCTCTGCGGTGAACGAGTCTGGCAGCTCCACATTCTGCGAGAGACAACGGGGGAGGGAGAGAGAGCGGGGGGGGGGAGAGGGTGAAAGTGAGAATGGGTTGTTTTAAAATAGATTGACATCATTTGCACCTTTTTACTATAGTACAAGGGTTTTCAAAGACGTCTGACACTGTCCCACAGCCCCAGACTAAAAACTGAGAACTGCCCCCCCCCGCCCCCACACCTCCTGTCTTTCATGTTCATGTTGTATCATGTTTTTAATTTTGGACTTTTGTGTGTGTATGTAAATATGTGAGAGGATGGAGGAGAGTGTGACAGTCTCAGTAATGTCAGACAGTATATTGGTAGTGGAATGCTTTGGGGGGGGGCGGTCTGGTGTACGGACAGAAGACGTATTGATTTTTGTGCAAACCGACTGAACTGGAATTTGTTTATCGCTCTCAGCAATGTCAACACAATACTCTCAACTCCGCAGCGTTAGCAGAGTTAGCGTCTGTTGCTAACAAGTCTGTTTTAATAGTCAACAGTTAGCTGGCTGGCTACAGATTGGAAAAGATTAGCTAACCAGCTCACTCATATTCATAAATCTAGTCTAAAATGATGTGTATCGCCATGTGATTTCAGATAGTTATGACTACTGCGTGTAAGTTATGTAATTCAGCTACTTTTGATGGTAACTAGACACAAACCAACGGGGTTGGGTCAGTTTCCGGTTTTCTCGGTGCGGTCTGGTACAAAAGGGACTCAACCAGCATTTGTTTATCGTTTCTGTTCATTACGAGCTGTTCTGGCTCATGTAAGAGAGACAGGAAGGACAGCAGTTATTATAAAACTGCTTCAAACTCCTCTTGCAAACGATGGACAGGATTTATGTTCTATGGAAGTCAACGTATGATTTTAATTAACTTTCCTGTAAAGAGTCAGAACTGTTTGTTTGTTGTGTCAGATTTGTTTACAACAGAGCTAGAGAATATTAAATTATACATATCAGCCTTTCTGACCCTCAGCTGTGTAAAAACTACACGTTATGAACTTTAAAACAGAAGAATGAGAAATGGTTGTTATCTCAGCGGCTGAAATTAAAATCTTCCTGGGAAACGATGCTCCGCTGAGTGTTTGAAAGCACTTTCTGAGCTGTGAGTCGGCCACTCTCTGACCCGCTGATAACTACAATAAGTAACTTCCTGTTGTTCGTCATGCACTGTGCCTTCCACCACAGATTGTATCTCTCCCTCGCGGTTCTGCTACAGTACAGCCGCCGCCCTCTTATTCTACGTCTTCTGCTTTACGTTCTGTCAGCGGCTCCGTGGAGACATTTCAGAGAGCAGATGTGCCATCTATCGGGATCTGTTCCGCCCGTCCACCGGTCCATCCCCTTCCTGTCTTGGCTGCTCAGTTCTCAGCCTTTTCACTGCTGTCTGCTCCCATCGTGTTTATGTAATGAGACCATTCATCATGTTTAATAAACACAAAGACATATAGAGCAGTATTTTTAGCCTGCTCGGGGCTGAATCTCAGCCCCCCCCCCCCCCAGCTCCCCCTCTCTCACACACATACACACCCACAGACGAGGATTAAAGGGATAAACCAGATTAAGTGGCTGGATTAAAAATCCTAATCTGGATTTATTGTGATATGAAAGATCATGCTTTCTCTGTTTAGAGGTCCTGCTCAGGCAAATAGCGCCTGAGTCTGTGTGTGTGTGTGTGTGTGTGTGTGTGTGTGTGTGTGTGTGTGTGTGTGTGTGTGTGTGTGAGAGAGAGAGGGAGCAGCCACCATTCTCAATTGCTTCATGTCCTGACAAAACACATAAATGGACACAGAGATTTGGACGCGTTCCACCGTGATGGACAACTGCTGCTGCTGGCAGGCGGAGTGTCGAGGAGCAAAGCTGTGCCGAAAATTCGCTCTACAGTTTGTCATCGTGAACTCGTCTGTGCTCGGCGGCGTCGCCTCCGCCAGGCTCTGGCCTGGATGTGAGGAGTGTAGGAGGGGGAGATAAAGGGTGGGTGAGAGCAGATATGTCACTGGGTGGGCTCAATGGACGCCATTCATCCCCGAGTGTTTGCTGGATCTGACCTGTGACATCAAAAGGCTCAGCGGTGTATTCCTCTAACAGATAATGAGACGTTAAATACGCACTCCACTCACTGAGCCTCAGGGCTCCTGAAAGGCAGCACCAGCAGTGTTGTGGTACCTTATAATCAGAGCTGGGTTTGAAAAAAATATTAAAAGTTACACATCCAGTAACCTGAGTTCTCTGAGAACACGCAGATGCTTACTTTTGGTATTTGTTAGTTTAGTCATAAAGCCACAAGGTCCGATGCAAATTCTCATATTTGAGAAGTACGAACAAACTAAGATCAGCAAAATATTGTAGATTCATTTCCTGTTGATTAATCAACTCAAAATATCTTTTGATAAGTCTGACTCAGATCTTAATTGGGAAGTTGGAACCAGATAGTGTTTTTGTCGGCATCAAACTGTCGGAAGGACAGAGTATCAAAACATCATATAACGTTACTAATCCAGTAACCTGAGTTCTCTGAAAACATGGAGATATTAACTTTCGGTATTTGTCAGTTCTCTTTTAAACGTTTGTCTCGATCAGAGGAGGGTGGCACAGAAGCAAATGTGTCTTATTTTTGTAGCGTCAGGTCAATTTCCAGGTGTTTCCATGACTGGAGAACTGGTCTGTAAATGTCCAGGTTTTCCAGGATGCAAGGAGAACTGTTTTTACAACCAGGTGTTAGAACTGAGATTTAAGGTGAGCTCAGAGAAACTTTCCTCCTTCAGCAGAAAACAAACTGAACATAAATCATTGTGCACAGGGAGGCTCAAACATCTGAGCGAAACAAGAAGCAAAAAAAGTTTCTGACTGGAGGTTAATTAAAAATACAGACTCAAAACAGATGAAACTTTAATGCCTTGTGCATTTTTTATCTTTATTTTTTTGGCCTGGACCACAGATCCCAGACTCTCTGAGTAAACCTGTGCTGGCTGTGGCTATAAATCCATTTGACCCAGAGGGCGGGCCAGGGGGGGCCGGGAGTGTGTGTGCTTTAACTTTGAAGCTTGGCTGCTAGTTCAGTTTATCTAAGCCAGGGTTTCTGTCATACTCCTCATCTCCTGCGTCTTCCCATGACACAGCAAAGTAAACACGCAGCCGAGCGTCCGAGAGGCAGCGAGAGTAAAAAGACGACCCAAAAACAAAGCCGGTTAGCTCAGGTAGATATACCTCTTCTAACTGTGCATCAGGTGTCTGTTGACACACAATACAGTATGCACAGGGACATAAACATCTGTGTGCTTTTGGTATTACTGTAAGGTAAACACAAGCCAAACCCATGTGCTCGGGGTTAAGCAAAGATTCATATTGCCTCTGTGCTTTACGGTGTGTTTACACAGAGACTCCTTGTAATATGTGCATCCGCCATCGTGTGCACCTTCGTGCACCAGCGACTTCTTGGAAACATGCAGCGTGTAGATGCCTCTTACCATGGTGAGCGTCATGCGGTCGATCTCATGTTTGTCTTTGGTCTTGTGCTGTCTGAAGGGACTGTGCCTGAACAGGAGAGAGAGAGAGAGACAGAGAAAGAGAGAGATACTGACTGTGACTGGAGATTATTGAAGAAGAGGAGAGAGGACGGGGTGAGGATGAGGCGATGCAAAGGAGGAATAAAAAGCAAGAAGAAATCTTTAAAAACTCGACCTGCTTTAACATCCTTGGTTAAAACTTGAAGCTCATAAATATTACAGCGCTGTAAATTAAGAAATGGTAATTTGAAATGACCTAGATCTTACTCATGCTAATTAGCCACCTGCATGTTCGAGTGCTGACTTGGAGCTTTAAGGGTTTTTGAGAGTGTTCTCATTCAGTGTTTGGAGGAGGGAAATTGTAGGAAATTGTTATGCAGTCCCCCAATTTTTGGACGGTGGGGGGAGGGGATGCGGCTACGCTGCTCACTCAACCTGCATGTAATCGCCCTCGAATTAAAGCTGAGAGGAGGCTCTTTAACCTCAGTCATGGTTTCATTTCACATCCACTGAGCTGCAGCCAAAAAAGTGTCCGAGACTTGGCCTCTGCAGGATGTTTTCTGTTAGCATTTACAGTAAATCATTTATCAGTTCACTTATACTTGTTTCTTATTAATATATTGTAATGTGGGAAGTATCAGGTGGCAAAACAATGCATTGCAGGGTTTGAATACCGGCCAAAATGGATCTGATACCAGGGCTACGATCCAGCAGCACTTTGAGCAGCAGTGAACTCTGTCTCAACCTCAGGATAAAAAAGCATAAGAGAGACTTAGGCATTTCTGAAATGTATTTAAATGTAATTTTGAATGTTTGGATGACCGATCCAAAAGGAAGTTTAAATAAAAAAAGAAGCAGCAGTTTGAATAACATGTGTGCTGTGTACTTCTGCCTTCATGAGAGTGTGTGATGTTTTTAAGATGGCTAGGTTAAGCAAAGTGCATCCATACAAATGTATTAGTAACAGCTTAGTTGTTTGTGAGAGGGCGGTACCGGCAGATAATCGAGGCTGCGGTATCGGATAGGGTTGTCGTGGTAACTGCAATAAGAAGCGCCGTTAACTCCGGTTAAAAGGATAAAGAATATTTTGCTGAAGCGAAGCAGTTTGGGACCAGATTGTTGGTCTGAGTGCTGAAGCAGCAGCAGAGCGGCTGAACAGGACGGAGATTTACTCAGACAAACACGCTGTGATCGGTGCTGCCTCTGAGGCCCGTATATCAAGCGAGCGTATAAACGAGACACAGCAGCATCTTTCCATCTGAGTTGCAAAGAGCGCCTGCACTCCACTTAGTAGAAGTGATCAAATGACAACTGGCAGCTCTAATGGGAGAGTAGCAGCTTCCAAACGACATCTCCAGTGAGTCTAATTGTTCAGCCTGAGCCAAATGACATCAAAATCCACCGCTGAAGACCGGAAGGATGCTAATCGATAAATCCAAGACCGGACTTTTACGGATGCAGCCAGAGAGCTCATTTCAGGAGATGTCCACATTTAAGAAATAAAGAAAGGAAACATGGTGCTGAAACTGAAACTAAATGGGATCTTTAGAAGCCTGAATTTACTCTGCAGAGGAACGGCGACGTTGTCTGATAAAGGTGCACCGAAGCCCACGAGGAGAGACAGAAATCTGAGTTTAGCAGAGGACAATATGGATAAAATCTTCAGTTAAATAGCAATTACAATATATATTGTGATAAGTAAATTAAATCTAAAATAAAAACAACTGTTGGAGCAGCGAGCAGCTTAATCACTCCATCAAATGCTGAGCAGATGGATACACTGTTGTTCAACAAGAAATAGTTCCACCACAAAACCACCCCTAAAACGCTCGAGTACAGAAGCTTAAGGTGTTGGTAGAAGTGTTTTTGAAGTTTAGACAGGCTAGCTGTTTCTACCTGCTTCCAGCCTTTATGCTAAGCTAGGCTAGAAAAGAGAGAAAAAGACAATATTTAAAAGGTTATATATGAGATTTAAAACATTAATATAACAGCTATTCTCTATATAAAGATTTACAGAGTCACATGGTGTCTCTCTCCCTCTGCCTGTGTTGTATCGCAGCCTCTCTGTGGTTTGTTTCCATAGCCGGTCTGCTCCGACTGAAACTGCTGTTTTTATCATCTACGTCGGTGAATTAAGGATTTATTGTACCAAACCAGAGTTGGTGATTGTTGGAAACACTAACAGAGACGCTTTTAATCAGTTTTATTTTGTTAGTTTGGGGCGGCAGTAGCTCAGTGTGTAGGGACTTGGCTTGGGAACCGGAGGGGCGCCGGCTCAAGTCCCACAGACCGTAAAATATGGAGTGTGCACGGTTAGCGGGAGAGGTGCCAGTTTCACCTCCTGTGCACTGCCAAGATGCCCTTGAGCAAGGCAACCTAACCCCAAGCCTGCTCATGGGGCGCCGGTAACGTGGCAGCCCCATCACTCCACCATCTGTTGCATGTCCACAAGTGCATGAAGTGTGTATTTTAGCCTGTGCGTGTGTATAAAAAAGGAGTGAAGATCCCCCAGGGGATTAATAAAGTACATCTTCTTCTTCTTCTTCTTCTTCTTCTTCTGTTTCTGTTCATTTGTTCTGGTCTGAGACACTGGTGCTCAACTGTGCGACGTCCAGTGTGAGGACACATTTTGTATATATTACCTTTCATTCTAATTCCAAACTCTAGATGGATTTAATCTTTATTGCTAGAAAAAAAATCCTCATTTTTCCTCCCTCATTCTCAGATTCTGCTGAATGTTTATAGTCAATGAAAGCCCGAGTGTAAAAGCTCATTCTGCTGTAAGATAAATGATGTAATATTGTTTATGACAGAATCCCTGTGTTTTACTCTGGAACAAAACATTTTCACACAGAGGATTCAGAATGTTAAAGCACGTCTATCCATCTCTGAAGCAGCCAACCTTTCACCAAAGACCAACACACTCTTCCTCTTTAAAGTGTTCAAACACACAGATCCCAACATCAATGGAAAGACACGTCTCTCACACACACACACACACACACACACACACACACACTTCTACCTGTTTCTTTCTGCTAGCTCCGACCCAGCAACCATCACACTCTCTCTCACACACACACACACACACACACACAACACACACACCTACACACCTACACACACCTACACACACCTACACACACCTACACACACCCCTTTTACCTGATTCCTGACCTACTGGGCTCAGACCTCTGGCATTTACACACTCCAGATCAAACAAACACACACACACAGCCTCGCACACAAACAAGATCAAACACACACCAAACAGACGGCGAGCGAGAGTGCGAGATTCAAAGACTCCAAGAGGCAGGAGAGGGTTTTTGAAGGCAGACGGGAAGTGAGGACACGGCGGGAGTTGAAGAGAAGAAGAAGATGATGAGATAAGAGGGGGAAGAAAGGCGTGAGTAGTTACCCTCGGAGGAGTTTGAAGAGCATGCAGCCTAAGGAGAACCAGTCGGCGCTGCTGTCGTACGCCGTCCCCTTCTGAAGGACCTCCGGAGCCATGTAGCCATGAGTACCCCTGCCACAAAACACACCACAGCTTCATGTCAAACACACGCTGGTTACTTTTTTTACAGCTGGAGGGGAGCAGCGAGCGCCGCTCTGGAGCCCCATTCGGACGGGTTGGATAATAGAGGAGAGGGCGGGTGAGAAAATATCTCCCCCCTCATCCCCTCGGACGACATTTTAGCTCCTGATAGAAAATACTGAGATACACAGTGACATGATGGTAGAAGGAGTAGATGACTAAGGATTTTAATATTTAATTAAAAGTATATTTTGATGCTAATACTTTTGGTCAAGTGAAAGAACAAAGTACTTCTTCCATCACTTATCTGGTAGAAACACAGACACACAGCCAGACTCTCTGAGCGGGATTAAAAACTCTGAGCGGTGCAGGTAATATTTAAAACCAGCCCACCTCCCCTAGAGGAGTAAATCCTGCAATAAGGGGGTTTAACAGAGATACTTACACGCTGGCGTGGGGTTTCTTCTTGGAGAAGTCGCAGGCCAAGCCGAGGTCGGAGATACGAACATGACCATGCTCATCCAGCAGGATATTAGCTGGCTGAGGGAGGACACACACACACGGGCAGAGAGAGAGGGATAGAGAGGGTGATACTGATGATGGAGAATACGAGAGATAAGATCATAAGCATAGGAAACAATGTTGGAGACCTCACTAATTCACGACTTAAGCTACAATTTCCGCTCGGCGGGAGAAACTTCTGCCTGGACACAGACGGACTGTCCTGGTTATCCTCCGCTGTTTGGCAAAACCGACTCACTCTCTTTCCCCCCTCCAAACACTCAGCCTAAAAGTATTATCTGCATTGTTCTGCACTGTTTATTGAAGCCCTTAAACTGTTCCCTGACTTCCAGCAAAATATATCTGTTATTATGGCAACCAGTCCAAACAGGGGAATTGGAGGAAAAACAGAGGACAGTTGAAAACATGGCTGATATGAATCTATGGTTCTGAAACAGAATCAGTGGAGGTGTGCTGGTGGATCAGCGGACTGAGCACAGAACAGTTTCACGTGTCATTCCTCGCTTATTTTCAACAGTTCAAAAATATAAAGATTAAACTTTCTTATAAACCGTATTCTACATTTTGTCTGAGGCTCATTGGTTCCTGCTGAATCTTTAAAAAAAAAAAAAAAAACACACCTCACAAACAAAAGTTTCATTTTAAACCAGCTGCTCAGTGTAATGTTCATCGACCAGGAGGAAACGTTTGATGAGGAGTGTCTGAAGCTGCACAAATCAATATTTTTTCATTTACAATCAATACACAAATGATTATGTGTAATAAGGTAATAGTGATGTACACAGAATTATCACCCGGCTCAGCTGTGTTAGCGTTTTATTCACAGCGGTCGAAAACGTATTCCTTAATGATTTAGCCGTTCTAATAATATGGAGTTTTTCCCCTATTTCCAAGATCACCAAATACACCTTCTCATCTACGACAGACCTTTTTCACAGCAGCCATTTCGACATAAATATTAGGGTAAACACCGGCGTTTCCAATGACACTGAGGAAGTGTAGCAGAGCCTTTACAGGGTGCCAACGTGTAATTAGTAATAATTAATTTCCCCGGTAACACCTGTGTTTACCCTACTGTTTCATGTCAACATTGCTGCTGTGAAAGAGGTCTACTTTTCCTCTTTTAGCTCATCGGTTTACTCTCATCAAATGTTTCCAGCAGCTTTCGGTGAAAAAGCTCTAAAAACCAACTGTACTTAAACTGCTCAGCAGCAAACACACCTTGGCCCCCTTTTCCACCAAATTAGTTCTGGTTCTCGAGTCGGTTCTGTTCAAGATTCTTGGGACAACAATTAGTTTTAATTAACAAAATAACCACACAAAAGCTCAAGAAAGGAAAATATAAACACCTATTTTCATCATTAAAACAGAAAAATACAACCGTTCACCACAGAAAGAAGAAGTTCCCTGCCGTCAAACTAGTCGAAATAAACCCTTAATTTAGCACAGTTAGATGTGAAAACATACATCTGCAGCTGTTTGTCCTCCCACTCGTTCTTTTGGCTCAGTGTGTGAACTCTCAATCTTCGGAGGCAGACAAATAAATTAGCAAAATAAAATAACAAAAAACGGCCAAAAAAATACCAGAAACCAGTGATGGACTCACTGATAGCCAATATATCTGTCCAATCCCCAAACCTACTCTCTGTCTCACATGTTGGATGAAAAGAGAGAAAGAGCTAAAATAAGACCCTTATCTTTATAGACTGGATGGCAAAGACCAAAACCAAGACTCCAAATTAATGCCAATGTCCAAGAGAGCCTAAAACAATCATGCAGGTGTCAGGCAGCGGGACAAAACAAACTGTGTGCTGATGGTAATGAAGGACCATGTGATACACACACAATGCTTGTTGATGGATGCATTCACTGTTGGCTTTTGGGCTTTTTCATGGAATTTGTTGACAACAGGAAAAATACACGAATCACCAGAGTTGTTCTTTAAAAAGGTTAGAGGACTGAGAGAGTCTACCTTGAGGTCTCTGTAGACGACGAAGCGGTTGTGCATGTGCTCCAGACCCAGGATGATCTCAGCCGCATAGAAACGCATTTCTTTCTCGCTGAACACGCCGTGCTGAGACAGGTGGTAGTGCAGGTCGCCCCCTGAACACACACAGACACACAGACACAGACAGAGTGTGTCAGTATGACCTCATAATATTTCATGCCTCAATCAATATCCATCAATAAGTTGTGGTAATCTCCTCGGGGGAGAAATGAGAATCGATGGGAGGCCTTCTATGACTCTTCCATCCGCCCCTGCAGTCTGTCTTGTATGTATTGACTGGCTGTATTTATAGCAGGACTGAAGCTGTAACAGCCTCACACTGTAACGCTGTATGAGGATGACTGTGTTGACTTTAAAAGGTGACTCAGGCTTTGATTGTGAGACTGGCTGGAAACGCCGAGTGCAGCCTCTGATGAGGCTCGGAAACTGGCTGCCAGCCGGGGCCCATCCTTAAGAGGAAGTGCTCGCGGTGAGGTGTGAGGAGTGTTAAAGGAAGGCTGATATTAGATGTTCGGGAGGCTAATACGGGCAGGTCGCAGCCGCGTGAGGCGTCACCGCTGAGGTCAAAATCCCATCAACTCTCGATTCTCTGGAGGAGGCATGACCTGACCGGCTGGCGACAGGCTGAGTAATCCAATCTTTGTGTCTCGGGAAGGACTGACTGGGGCTGGAGTTTAATCTGGCGGGGCGGAGGTCACCCTACCGTTCATCAGGTCCAGGATGAAGCAGAGCTTGTCGGGGGTGTGGAAGGCGTACGTCATACACACGATGAACGGGCAGTCCTACAGAGAGACAGAATCAGATCAGAAACTGACCTCTGCAGCAAAAAATAAAGGTACATTTCAACGTAAAAGTAAAGCTGTACGTATAAAAAGTAACTATCAGATAAATGTAGGGGAGAACAGGGTTGTCACATTCATTGATCTCGCTCCCTAGAGGGCGGACTTGAAGAAAGGTGTAAACTGGTTGCTAGGCAACATCAGTATCACTTTCCAATCAAAAGCATTGAACTTTGTAAACAGGAAGTTAGTGTAGCATCACAGACGGCAGCGTAATGTGCAAAAATAATAACTGTTAGTGCTACAAAAACTATACTTAAACACACCTGAACTGTTCCGACTGTAGGTGTGACTGTTTTATTTATTTATGTGTGTGTGTGTGTGTGTGTGTCTTTCAGTTCGAGTGTGACCTTTTTATCAATGTACTGATGCTTTAACGTCCACTATAATGAGGCCAACAGCTGCTTAACTCACCCCTGTGCTGACTAATGACAGCATGATTCTCTCGTTGAGCGCTAGAGTCTCCCCCTGCTTCATCTTGATCCTCTTCTTGTCCAAACACTTCATGGCGTACCTGACATTCGAACAAGACACAGCGCACATTTACACACAGGTGGTTGCGGTGGGACCCGAGTCCTTTGAAGCTTTTTTACTCTCTGTTCTGCTTCCTTACATCTTCCCCGTGTCGGCCTTCCTGCAGCCGTACACCTCTCCGAAGCCGCCCCTGCCGATGATCCGGTGCACGCTGAAGTCGTTCATGGTCAGCTGGGGATGGATGGAGGAGGAGGGGGAGGAGAGAGGGATGTTAGGAGAGGCACAACGGGAGAGAATATCTTTCAGGAGGTTTCATGCCCACAGCCTGTTTGGTTGTTAAGTCTTGTGCAGACCCCAAAACCAGATCGAACCAAAACCAGATCGTCTGGAAGGAGGAGCCCGGTTCCTGATGTGGCTCGTTTGTGGTGTGAATGTAAACCAGACTGACCGCAGGATCCGGTTCTAGTGCACATGGTGATTTGGTTAAACAAATATGTTGATGAGAGGTGCTCGTACCCATGACAACACTATCTGCTGATGAAGACCATGACATGTGGTTGAAAGGTCAGGGAAAAGGCAAGTAAGTAAACCTCGAGTTATTTCCTGTCTGTCTACCTATAATGTAGAGCCGGCCCCGAATAGTCCACTGAACCGTTGCCGAGTCTCAGTCGGACAGTAAAATCACCTATCAGAGTATGCTAACTGTACTAGCTGCTATTAGCTAGTTAGCAGTCCTATTAGTTGTCTGTACCTGTCTGTAGCATTTAACAGCTGTTCACATATATATATTTAAACAATTTAATTAATATCATAAACATGTGACGATTATTCGAGTAGGAAAGTCTTTAGTGGGTGGCGGCCCGACTATAATGTTTAATGTTTGATCCAACTTGGTAACCAAGCGCTTCATGACTCGTTGTTGTTGTTGTTGTGAACAAACATTGTTTGGGTTTTGATGCAGGATGAGTCATCACTAAAGCTGTCCAATGAACCTGTCAGTCCATAGGACGCAGTGTTTACACAGCCTTGGTTAATTTGTAACAGAGAGCAGCATGAAATGGACCGGAGCTCAAAGACATCAGAGTCTATTTGGTGGTTTTAGAGTTTTCAAAGGGAGCCGGGGGGGCGACGTGAGGTAAAGATACTGCCTGAGGTGAATATACTTTAATTTCTGCAACTTCAGGATTCCCACTCTTTTAAAAAATTGTCCCAAGACAAAACTATAACTTTATCAACTTAATTTTTTTTATTTGCATTGTTCTTCTTGATTTTTTGATTTGTTTTTGTTTTTTAAATGTTTTAATTGATTTGAGCTTCACTCCCTTATCTTTTTTTTTTTTTTTTACCTTGTTGCACTTTTATCACCCTGTAAAACCACAATGAAAAGGTTGGGTACCAGCAAACTGGCTATAAACAGGATAAGAGCTGAACAGATACGTTCAGAAAACCTTCATCCTCTGATAAACAGACTCCTCCTGCATTAGAAACCGAGAGCTGATAGAACAATGAGAACAAAACACTGAATGTATATATGAAAAAAAGCCTTTTAAGTCTGTATGATAGTTAAAAAACTTAAAAAATACATAGTACAGACAAAGAATTGTATAAAAAGTTCTTCAATAAAATATCAGCAAAACTCATCTCTTATTAATAATCACAGGAAATAATCTGCTCAAAATTCATCAAAATCACACACACACACACACACTTCCTGCAGTTGTTGTGTTCACTGTTTGGCTTCATTGTACATTTCATCATCTGTTCTCTACTGTTATTGATATTATTGAATAGAATATAGAATATGCACAAAATATAGTGATAGAAAAGAGGTCTCTTAAGGAAAAGGTTGGGAACCAGTGTAGCTGACTGATGCTGTAACATTTGTGAAGTCTCATATTGAAAACAAAGCTTGTACTCACATGGATGTTGAGCTCCACATTCTTCCACTGGCAGAAACGAGTAAATTTGTCACTGAGGGGGAAAAAACAAAAATAAAACAAGAGTTAAAAACATGAATTCACTGTACGTTGGTGCAACTCTTCCACCCTCCATCTCCCCTGTCTCACCTCTCAATGAACTTCTGGAAGATCTTCCCTCTCAAGCTGTCACAGATCTCCACTATGTATGGCTGCAGGGAGGTGGGGGGGTGGGGGGGTGGCAGACACATAAACAGCAGTTCAGGCCAGGTTTCTCTCAGTAACTATGTGATAAAAATTCTTTGCGAATGTATGTGAATATATGCTGTGTGTGCATCGTTCTGATCGCTCAGCTGGACTCCTGCGTCTGCCGCCTTCCTTCTGTCTGCTGTTAATTCGCTCAGCGTTCGTGTCTGTGCGATTTGACGAGCGAGCTCCAGCTGAATGTAACGTCTGAGCCACACGGAGACTCCCAGAATATACAGGAAATACTGACAGGTTGATGTAATATCTTCTAGGGAAAATGAAGTCACTGGGGATAATTTTATATCCAGAATAAGAGGCCATGTTGTAGTCTAAAAGAGGAAATTGTTGATTAGATTTACTGAGCTGGAAAGAAAACAACTGTTGTTCCTCTCTTTCTCTGGGTTTCATTTTCCTGGGGGGCCTTTTGGCCATCGATGGTCCACGCTGAATGTATAATTATCAACAGTATGAATGTGCTGTTTAAAAATAATGTTAATGCAGTTGGAAGTCATGAATAGATACTACGAATTAAAGCCGGGGAGGAAATTGTATAAACACTTTCAGGAACGTTTCCTTGATAAGGAAATGTGAAAGTTTCATAAACTGTTGACGCACTAACAGCCAATAAAAACAAAAGCTATTTTTAACCAATCATGTGACAGTCTTTAAGGAACGGACAGCTGATTTCCCAAAATAGGCCCAGCAGGGTCGGTTGAGTTGGCTCCAAACACCGCACTGTTGTTGTTTTGGTATCAAAAGACAAAGTTCAGACGGGAGGAGGAGGAAGGAGGAGGAGGAGGAGGAGGAGGAGGCTCAACAGTCACCACAACCTCAAAAGTGGGCCAAGAGAAGTCCAATACCGAGATATAGAGCAAACAGTGACACAGCAAATAGTTTAACGAATGTTAGCTACGTCGTGGGTTAGCAAACGGTGGCTAAAGTTGCTGCTAACGTGCAGAGAGGACGAGGCTGCAGACAGCGCTGCTCACAGCTGTCCTGCTGCCATAGCTAACGTCGCTAACTAAAGTGGGACGGAGGGCTGCACAATGAAGCCAACATTAAATGAATGTGATCGTCTATAATATCGGCCTTTAAGCTGTGTGCTCGGCTCATAGAAAACTCTGCTTCCTGGAGAGCCAGCCACCAGAGGTGATCCAGATGTTTCGGGGAGCTGTCCTCCAGCTGCAGCCAAGATACTTTTATTCCCTTTTATTGAGTCACTGCTAACAAAAACTGAACACTTCCTGCTGCTGCAGCTTCACATTAAAAGCATTTAACTGGCAAAACACGAGTTTACAACAAAACGGTCATTTTTGGAATTTTTCACAGCAGGTCAGTCTGGGAGTGATGGGACAGAAAGAGCTGCTCACCACCAACCACCAACCCCCCACTGCTCACAGAATCAAATCTGACCACGGTTGTTCACAGAAACGACAAAATGATCCTGGGACCTGTGGTGTTAACCAGGTGAACTGCAGGAGGGTTTGTGCCGCCCTACTACAAAGTCAGCTGAATGTAATGAAGTACTTATTTTTTGACTAATTTATGAAAGTGTGGGAGTGTGTGCATCCGCTCTCACTAATTGTGTGGGGAACACCGAGCAGATAGAGCTGGTGATAGTGGTTTATTGTTAACGCTGTTGAAAGCATCAGCGGCCGGAGACAGGAAGTACCACAAACTGAGTTCATGTGCAGCAGCAGAGAGGACTCGCAGGCTGCAAGCAACAAGTAACGCCACTAACTAAGTGTTGTTATTTATTTTTGGGTAATTTATTCATTTAAATAGATGTTCTGTTTGTTTAGACCAAGTAACAAACCCTGCAGTTCCTCTAACGGCCACTAGAGGCTGGCTCCAGCAGTCAGTCTCCGTATTAAAATGTCCAACTTTACAGCAGAAATAAACATGTTTACAGCCTGGTACAAACAACCATTTTGTTCTCTGTAGGTCATTAAGGGCGTGGCCGCTTCGAGTGACAGGTGGGTGCCGTTACAGGCGGCAGTTTTCAGTAACCAGGCTTCGTTCAGCATCGCCTCATTACCTGTTTTTGCCAGATTAGCCAGAAACTGTGATAAACATCTTGGCTAAACACAAATCATCATCAATCCTTCAGCCATTCTGAGAAAGGGCGGAAACCTCAGCGTACTATAAAATGAGGTTTGCAAAGGTTAGTGTGTGTGTGTGTGTGTGTGTGTGTGTGCGCATAATTTACACCCTCAGACGTGTTGAGGGTGTGAAGTACAAAAATAAAAGGAGGCCTCCAATATTTTAATTGGTTATTGTCATTACTGTCAAGGACACGAATCATGTGCGCGGCTGTGCTCTGCTCTCTTTCCATCACAGTATTCTTCCTCATTTCATTCACATCAGTTTAACAGAAGCAGCAAAATGGCGGACATGGTAGAAACAGAACATAGAGAAAGGTGTGTTTACCTGGAAGAGAGTTGGGGGAACCTGTTTCTTTGTTAAGTGACTCTGCACGTGGTCCACTGCTTTCTTAGAAAATGGCTGAGACAAAAGAGGAGAAAATAAAGGGAAGGGTCAGTAACAATGCAGCGTTACGGTGATTTCAGTTCTGTTTTCTCTGTGTGAGGATGTGCATCCCCCAGTGTAACATGTAACATGACGCAGCTATGAGGCCGCTACCAACAGGACCAGTGTGTGTGTGTGTGTGTGTGTGTGTGTGTGTGTGTGTGTGTGGGGGCGGTGTGTTTAATAACTTCCTCCCTTTAGACGGCAGCAAGCACCAACTTTGCTTTACATCCCAAATTGTTGCCTTGCAGGAGGACAAAAGCGGCGCTGTGTGTGTGTGCGTGTGTGTGTGTTTGTTTGTTTGTGGTCAATATGGACGGACTTGTTCCAGCTGGTTCTGGGAGCGGCACTGCAAGGATTTCCCATCATGCCTCTGTGTTCCAGTGCATGCAGTCTTACTGGTTTAGTGCAGAACTTATACTTTGATACTTTTGAATGAATAAGCCATACTTAAAGCTCCTTTATGAGTGTATGATTGAACCTGGTCTCAGTTTGTTGTGTTTATGGCCTTTTTTAGATCAATTCTGACCAATAAAATCATCATATTAACGTAGATGTTTTTCAGGAGAAGAGTTCTGGCTTCATGTATCTGTTAAAGTGACAGCTTCTGTCATTCAGACATACAGTAGGTGTCTGTTACGTAAATGTTCCCTACAGCTTTATTCAACCATGACAGAACTGCGCAACGAGCCTCAATGCTCGGTGATATTTGGCACCTAATGAGTGAGAGTGAAGCGTGTTTTCTGTCCTCGCACAGGCTGCACAGGCGATGGATAAAACAACTTCTATTCTGCTGTTAAAGCTTTAATGAAAGATCATCAGGGTTCATTCCTGCTCTGTAAAGCTTTTATGCTTCGTGTTTATAATTCCATGGATACTGTACATTTGACATGAATGAAAATGTCTCTCTCTAATCTGTTTCCTGAGACAGGTGCAGAGGAGTGGGATGAGCTGGGTAACTTTACAATATTACATGTTTTTTCTGCGACATTTCTGCACTAGACCTTCACCAGGCAACGAGGAGGCATGTTAAGGCATCACAAGTGAATGTACTACTGTAAACAGACAGTGAGCAGGAGTGTATCGGTGCAACTAATGAGGGAAAACTGTAAATATATAAAAGGGAGAGATGCTCTTCACTGTGAAGGGGAAACATTATGACTGTTTATATCTGTACATAGTAGTTTAATGTTTGTGTTGACACTGTGGAGCTTGTTGGCCTCGTCTTCTGTGTACGTACATTGAGAGTCCTTGTACACACAGTTAACAAATAGAAGTGATTCGGAGGTGTTACAGAATCATCACTGCCATTGTGACTTTTACACAACGAGGTCCACGTCTTTCTGTCCCGGTGGTCGTCCAGAACTCGCAGTCACATGTGTAACTGTCACACAGCCTGTTGTTCTGCGTCTGAATGTGAAGATGGTGTGTTGGTGTGTGTGTGTTGATGATGTGTGTGTGTGTCTGTCTGGTACTCGTGTTGCGTTACTGCAGTGGTTCCCAACATAAAAACAAGAGCAGCCGCTTGCTGCAGGAAGCGTCTAAACTAAGCTAATCTATGTTGAAAAGACAACTACATTTTGAAGATGGGTTAAAAGATAAAAGAGACACATATATAGTTAGCTAATGTTAGCATATACTGGCTAACTACCTAACCGATCGTCATCAACTGTTAGCTTGCTGGTTACATTTTAAAGCTACTGTATAAGATGTGACTCTCTATACACACGTGGCTTTTGCAGCTTTTTATCTTTTAACCATCTTCAAAATGTGGTTGTCTTTTCAACATAGATTAGCTTAGCACAAAGCACACAGCATATCTAAGGACAGGAAAGGAACATGTTCTGACTGCGGCTTGCTCAACTGTTATTGGAGCACAGCACAAAAAGGGGCGGGACTTAGGAAGGAAGCAACCAGGTTCCAGCTCCTTTTTATTTAAGATCATTTTAAATTAAATATATTTGGGTGAACGCAGCTGGTCGGATTCAACATATAAAGCCGACGACATCAGCTTAAACTACTTTTTCTGACATTTTATAGACCAAACTATCAATTGATAACATTAGAAAATACTTAGACTACAGACGCAGCGCAGCTACTCTTTGATTTGAGTCATTTTAAAGGCCGCTTCACAAGAAACATTGAAGACTGAAGAAAAATTATTCCTTTTCTGTCCTTTTGATCGTCTCACAACCCTCACACTTATCCTGTGACCCATCTGGTTGCAGACTGGGAACCACTACAGTACAGCAACCTGTGTGTGCTCGACCTCGAGTGCATCAGTGCGGATCTGAAGGCGCCCTCACATGTGAACAGGACAGGAGCTCCTTCATGATGTAGCCGTCGTATATCTGCCGGCTGCGGCTCAGCCTCTCCTCCTCGGAGTCCAGCTTCTCGTAGTCCTTAATCTGAAACAGACACACGGGGTCAGCTTAACGCCGCAAACAAAACAGGGCTAAATCTGAATGAGCGGGATTACAGGCCTAATCTCTCACCCATCCCCGTGATGCCATCTAATCCCGCAAACACACACACTCAGGATACTTACTTCTTCGTAGAACTTGAGCTGAGGCACGGCCTCGTCGATCTCATTCATACAGAAGTCCTTGAACAGCAGGAAACCTGGAGGACACACAGAAAGGACAGGAAGCGATGAGGACAAGAACCCACACTGTTGATTATTTGACAGAAATCTCTTGATGCTTTGGCTGATATTGTTCATTGTGTTCAGCACGGCTCTACAGGTGGCAGTGATGGTTGATCTGTTGGTCCAGACTGAAATATCTCAACAATATGGCTGCCCCCTAACACTGTGATAACCTTATCCCTCCTGCGTATATTCATTGTGAGCTTGCTGATACATGCTGAAGAAGGGCGGCTTGCTCAACGTCTGTGTGGTAAAATTTAAAAAAGTGCTGTCCTACGTATTTGCTTTTTGATTTTACACATTTAGGATTCAGCACCCGGACGTGTTTTCAGTTTGTAACCTGTCGTATTTACACACCTGATAAGAAAGTCTGAGGTGTGGTGATAATCTAATATTCTGTAGCTCTGTTACAACCAAAAGATCAGAGAGCATGAAGCCTATCAAAATCTATTCAAAATAAATATCAACAACTTATCGTCTGAAATTCAATTATCACAAATAATTCTAATATAAATTTCCCTTTATTGGCCTGATAATTATCGTGCATCCCCCAGTCAGGATCTGATATTTTATAACGTTCTGTTGTTCTGCACATCCAGAAGGTTACCCACTCAGTCCAGGTTCACACAGAGAAACAGCCGTCCTCTGGATAAACCCTCCGTTTCCTCTGCAGAGTTTCCTCCGTCTCGACAAGTTTAAGACAACAGTTTTTAGTTTTTCTGCTTAAATGTCACATGATATTTGCCGCAGTGGCTTTACTGCGTGCAGCGAAACATTTAAGATGTCTGAAACACTCACACATCAATACGACACAGAATAAAGAAATCACCTGAAAAGCTCATGCTGCTCGACATTTAAAAAGGAGATATAGACCGGTAGAGGAGCGAGATATCCACGTGGCCGCGCGGCCAGTGGATGATTTATGCGTACATGCGGATTCGGGTAAAGAAATCTGTTTTGTCTGTGATATCAAAGGTGATAAATAAATAAATAAATAAAAAGGTATTAATGGGTAATGGTCAAGGGAAGAAGGAGTTAAAACCAGACACACACACACGAACAGCTGTAAGACCACATGAAGATGAAAGAAGGGCAGCCCCATTTACTGTATTAGCCTTAATAATGGTTGAGGTTGTCGTGTTCTTATTAGGGACACTACAGCAGCAGATTCTGAGCTTTCCCTCCAGCCTACTAACACACACACACAACACACACAACACACACAACACACACACACACACACACACACACACACACACACACCTCCTAATTACAGAAGATGGCACCAGGCATTATTGGCTGAAAATGACACACTCTGTGTCACTCTCAAACACAACGACAATGGATAATAATCTCACGACGCGCAGTCAAATCCACACTCAATGAAACATTATCTGTGGAAGAGGAGGGGCGGTGGGGCGGGGAGGGAATAAAGATGCATCTACGTTTGCTCGCAGGGATGAGACCCGCTGTTGCCATGGCGATTGCCTCCGTGGCTACCGGCTATGTGTGTACAATGGTGCGGAGACACAGAGATGAGATGTACAGTGGAGCCGGGGCCGGCGAGGTACCGTCGATCCCCTGATGTCTGAGGCATTATCGCGCTACGGGGCGGTTTCACAGTCGGTTGTGGTCAAAACAAAGACGCGCTTCAAGAGGACAGAGACGAGAGGACAGTGTGGGGGTGGGTTGAGCGAAGCAGCAGCAGCGTGTTGTATGTTGCTGAGGCACAGTGGCGCTCAGTGTTTTGCATGCGTTGGTTAGACTTCCTCTCTGCGGCTTTACCCGATTAGCATCAGGTATTAGCAAAAAATAGATGGCTAACAAGATCTCATTCTTGACAAAAGGTCAGTCTGGCCGAAACTCACTGCCAATGTGGCTCCGGTTCCTATACGACCAGCAGCTAACGCACCCAATCACTGCGTAGATGTCAGTGCCTCGTTTCGGTACCAGAGTCTGGTTTTTAGGTGAAGCAGCAAGTAGCACCGAGACAAATTTAATCTCTGGGACAGAAATGATTATTTTCTTACTCTACTCGGGATGTCACAGGAACAGATCCTTGTTCAAGTTGATGCCAGAATACTGAAAACCTGACGTTTTCTTGTTTAGAAGTTCAAATTACTATTTAAGATCCAAACTTTGAAGACCTGAACACAAACTTTATTCACAGAGCCTTCACTCTCTGATAGACCGCCTTAAAAATCAATGAAAGAGCTGATAGAATAAGAACCAAACACCAGGGACAATGAAACACATTGTTAAAATTACATACCGCAGAGAGAGAACCGAGTAATCTGCTCAAAATTCATCCAAATCTTCCTACAGTTACTGGATTCACTATTTGGATTAACTGTACACAGTTTATCAGTTTTATTCTGAAATATCCATAAAATATGTCACTTAGGGGTCGTCAGTTGTCTCAGTGATAGAAAAAGGTTGGGAACTGCTGCCTGTAAGACATCGCAGTGTGAGAGCAGAACGATGGACTGTCAGACAATAAGGTGATGGAGGGCCGAAGAAGAATCGAGAACCGGTTCCAGAAAACTGGTTCCAAACTGTCCGATCCATCAGAACTGTGTGCCACTGAGCTTATGAATTCCTTTTATCAATGCCAGCCCGTTGTTCTGACAGTCGTGATGGCGCAGCACACACGAACGGGAGAATATATCACCGACTGTTGGTCTGACAGTTGCAAAACAATGACGTCAATCTCATGTGTCGAGGATGCGGGAAACTAGCAACAAGGAGGAGGTGGTGGAGAGGAAGAAACGATCTAACTACACTGAGTACATCAGGAATCAATAATGGAACCGACAAAGAATGGAACCAATAAGCAGAACCGATAATGGTATTTGTATCAGTACAATTCCCCCAATTCCCATCCCTGTGTGGCACACGTTCTCCATTAAATACGAATGTTTGAGTCTCATATCGCACACAACAGTGAAGTGGAGAGGGGTAGAATTACGTGTACAGCTGCACCATTGTGTTGTTGTACTGATGGAAACACGGAGGAAGTGTTGAGTCTGCATCACCAGCAAACTGAAGCAGGAGCAGATTCTTTTTGAAATATGACAAAATAACCTGATAAAACCTGGAAAAGTAGAAACGAATCTCTCCCTTTAAACAGTCTGTAACAGCTCGGGTGCAGAAATCCGCCACAGAACAAACAGAAAATGAGCTTCTTCGCTTCTAAAAAGTGGCCTTTGTTTCCATTAAGTGGCCTCACTGATTCAGTTTAAGGCGCGCCCGCAGCAGGAGCCATTTGTTTTTGGGGCCTCGTGCCTTACTATCATCCATTCTCACTTCTTCCCCTCTTGCTTTATCTCTCCTCCAGACGTGATGCATCATTTCCCCTTCGCTCCAAGCTGACACTAAAGCTCATACAAATAAACATGCTCACATGCATCCACACATGGCGTATGTACACAGCCGACTGCACAGGGCATCCTTGTTTGCAGAATGGGTGCTACTGACACACACACACACACACACACACACACACACACACACACACACACACACAACACACACACACACACACACACACACACACACACACACACAGGTTTTCAATAGCAAGGACTAAACATGCGAGAGAGGCATTAAGAGAGGGACAGAAGGGAAAAACGACAGTTCTTACATCACCGAGACTCAAGGATTAACCTTAATCGCTGAACACTTCAACACTGCCCAGCTAATTCAACAAATGGCCTCTTCCAGAGAACACACACACACACACACACACACAAATCAGACACGAGTTCCTGTGAGCTTTGTCTCATTAGCGAGATCACCTGAACTGTCTAAAAATACCACGCTGACGGCTGCCTCTGTCGTCCATCATCAGCGCACACACACACACACACACACAGGCCGAGCAGGTAGGGCTGAGGATCCAGAACTGGGACCAGAACCGGGGATTCATTATGAATTGTGGGATTTGATTTCTGAAAAAGTTCAAGGAGCTGCTGCACGTCCGTCCGTCTACATCGCCACTGACGCATCGGTCAATATGGCGGAAAGGCGTGGGCGCATATTAAGTACGGTTGAGTATGAACAGTAAAACGTGTCAATATCTTGTTTTCCAATAAATAAATATCTTATGTTAATAGTTTCTCTTAATGTTATGATCAGATCTATTGCTTTGGAGCTCCATTTGAGGCTGTTCTGTAAATCTGTCTCTAATAAACACAGCAGCCTCTGATCAGTTTCAGTGTAAGCCCCACCCATTATGGCTATACAGATAATAGTGTACTTGCTCAACCCTGTATATTAAGCATGGCCAAATTTCAATGAAGAAATTTCACATTCAGCAGCTTTATGGAAAATAACTGTTAGTTGAAGCCCAAATAAAATGTCCATCAGTTCCTGTTTTCCACCAGCAGTCCAAAAACACACAAATAGTCAAATTACAATAATTCAAATAATTAAATATAATAAATAAAGAAAAGCCATCCTCACATTTGAGAATCTGGGACTGACACATGTTTGACATTTTCGCTTGACAAACGAGTTAAAGTTCCCTCCGGTCAGAAACCAGCGTTCCTTCTTGTTCCTACAGTGAGACGTTTGAATGACGTCTGTGCAGAGTTGGAGAGTTAAAGGATGTTTTCACATTCTCGTCGAGCTCTTTGAACGTCTGATTTTTAAAGGGGCGGGGCCTACGAGCACGATTTGTGACATCACAAAGAGTTCGGAGGTCAATGCTGAATCCTTGTTATTCTACACGGAGGAGAGGAAGCACATCCACCCACAAATGTTCTAGTCTGTCGTAGAAATGCCACAGGAAGAAGAGGAGCATGAAGAAGGCAACTAGTGCCGCTGTACAGGTGAGTTACCCCCAGGTTTTATGGCCTACTTTATTAATTAGTTACTTAGTGTAAAAAATATAGTATATATACTTACTGGCTATAATTATATGGTATAAAAAAGAGCTTGGTTGTATGAAACGTTTTTCTACATTGAATGCAGA